CATCGTCGGAGGTGGAACAGGTGCCTTAGATTACTGAGCCGTGTAATCATAACAGTTTCATAGGCAGTAATTTGTATTCATGTCTATGATAATAAAATCCTTTTGTTTAAACTTTATCTAATTTAACTTTATTTAACCAATTTCTGGAAAGTTGCATGTAGATCATTTTTCGAAAAATAAGGCCATAAAGAAGTTTCACTTCTTACGTGTGTACACTAGTACACGCACACATTTTTTTTTGTCTGTATTTCTATGTTTATGTTATGTTTACTATTGCTGGCGAGGAAAAAGTTTTACTTGATTATCAACTGAGGAGCTCGCGATCAAAACGCTATGATTACCCATCCGGTCAAACTAACATTTTTAACAGTCCGGAGGTTTTGGGCTCAAATAATTTTCAATGAAAACCGCCTAAAGGAATGTTTCATCATCATCATCAGCCTATTAATCTCCCCACTGCTGGGGCACAGGCCTTCCCTATGGATGGAATAGGGAGATTGGGCCATGAGCCACCACGCGGGCCCAGTGCGGATTGGTGGGTGCTAACGACTAAGGAATGTTTAAATGACTAATAAATGAAAAACAATGGCAAAAGCTCACTGGAGGTATGTCATTCAATTTTATACAGCTCCTCTAAAATTTTTAGTTTTATGTAATTACTAGCTGACCCAGCGAACTTCGTACCGCCCTAAAAAAATAGGGGTTGTCCAGCGGACAAAATTGTGAATCTAAACCATTCTCAGATCCCCTTGAACACACACAAAAAATTTCATCAAAATCGGTCCAGTCGTTTAAGAGAAGTTCAGTGACATACACACTCACAGAAGAATTATATATATAAAGATACCCTTTTGGTCGCCAGCTCCTCAACTGATTGTTATATTTGCCAATTTTTATCTCTGAAGTCATATTTCAACTTGACGACTCGTATATATCAATACAGGGAGAAAAAAGCAGCCCTTGTTGAGTTTCTTGCCGGTTCTTCTCAGTACAAGGTCTCCCGCCGTAGTTTTGCGAACCGATGGCGTAGCTTCTGACTTTCACAAGTGCTTGTAACAGCCTAGAATGAATAAATGACTGTTCATTTCATTTCATTTAACTGCGCAACACAAGGCGAAAGTAAATATGTTGTATAATATGTCAATAAATTACTATTTGTAATAGTCATAAGACATAATGCTAATAAGGTGCTCGATGGTGCAAGTTCAGAATTCATCTCATCACCGTTTGCTGTTTGTGGTCAACAAACTCATGATCATGCGACTGTCAAATACATTGTATGCCAAGCCATTGCCTATATTTTGTTATCCATTTATAAAGCTAGCTTTGAAGCGAGTGCTGGTTAGAAATGCTTATAAGACATACGTGTCAGGATGCATATTGCTAATTGGGACAAGTATAGTACTTGAACATAGATTTTTATTGCTCAATAGTAACATGGGAGTAATAATCCATGCTTTGTTTCAACATTCACGCGCATAATATTGGTTTATTTATCATCATCATCAGCATATTAATGTCCCTACTGCAGAGGCACAAGGCTTCCCCATGGATGGAATAGGGAGATTGGGCCATGACCCACCACGCGGGCCCAGTGCGGTTTTTTGAGTGCTGACACCTGCAGATGCAGCCGGGACCAACGGCTTAACGTGCCTTCCGAAGCACGGAGGAGCTCGAAATAGTAAATTTTTGGTCACCCATCCAATGACCGACCACTGCGAAAATTGCTTTACTTCAACGATTTTTCATTCACCCTCATAATATTTCTTTATTCGATCTATGTTTTAGCAAAACTATTTTTTATTAAATAATATTAGTATATCTACTGCGAGTGTTTATTGTAATGTGCTAAATTCACCACGACAATTTGCAAATGTAAGCTTATGTAAAAATCTACAATGTGCCTGCTATTTGCGATTTAACCTTATTCTTATCACACTAATATTATAAAGGCGAAAGTGTGCGAGTGTGTATGTTTGTTACTTCTTCACGTCTAAACGGCTGGAGCGATTTTAATAAAATTTGGTATGGAGTTAGCTGACACCCTGGATTAACACGTTTTACTGCAGGGAAATATTCCCAATAAACCGCGGGTAACACAGCTAGTTAATTATAAATGAAAACGCTTCTTTTTTATTCGTCATAATTAGCGCTGACATTAAAATTCACTCTCATAAACAGAAAAGAAATGAATAAAACTGATGTTTCAATGCATCTTTGCACCCGAGCCGACACCGACAAGTTACAACCTGTCCGTCGTGTTATGGTTAAAACAATCATCATCATCATCATCATCAGCCTATTAATGTCCCCACTGCTGGGGCACAGGCCTTCCCTATGGATGGAATATGGAGATAAGGCCATGACCCACCACGGCGGGCCCAGTGCGGATTGGCGGGTGCTAACGACTGCAGATGCAGCCGGGACCAACGGCTTAACGTGCCTTCCGAAGCACGGAGGAACTCGAGATAGAAAATTTTTGGTCACCCATCCAATCACCGACCACTGCGAAAGTTGCTTAACTTCAACGATCGCAGCCGAACGCGCTAACCACCTGCGCCATCGAGCTCCTCGTTAATTTATATATGATAATTATGAACTGTTTGCATATCATTGCAAAACTTGCAATGATATACTTAATTTTCTCTCCTTCTACGGGCCTGCGTTGTGTTAAACGGGAGACGTCCGCTTCGCGTGTTTGTTTCATGTTATTTCATAGAGCAGCAACTACTAACTTATGAAATGACGAAACTGCACGCTCCCGCTTAACGCAGCGCAGGCGCTAATTTTAAGAGAAACGCTTTTGTCTCTGCAATCTATGGATCTTACGCCATCTCCCTCTGTCTTTCATCAGCGCTTTGACCTTTGTGTTGTGTAGACAACGGATTGCTCTGACAAAGTGCCAAAATATGCATGCAAATATGCGCTAAAAACCCTTGAAATGTCCAAAAGTACAATGCGAAATCAATAAATCTTTCTTTTATTTATATTATTTATTATATCTTACATAATAATTAAAAAAGGAACAAAAGGCATTTGGCATCGGTATTTAATTATTATTATTAAAAAAATGTGTGCGTGTACTAGTGTAACACGTAAGAAGTGAAACTTTTTTATGGCCTTATTTTTTTCGAAAAATGATCTACATGCAACTTTCCAGAAATATATATATAGGCGTGCGCTAAGATTTTTCAAAAACTCACCCACTAAAGGGGTATAACTACACCCTACCTTACCTTACCTTACCTTACCTTACCTTACCTTACCTTACCTTACCTTACCTTACCTTACCTTACCTTACCTTACCTTACCTTACCTTGTGTGAAACACGAATATTTGCTGTCGATACTTTTTTTTTTAAAGTTGACAGAAGAAGCAATTGTTCGGATGAGGTAAATAGTGCTCTTTTAAAAAAAAGATGGCGCGTAACCAAAAAACGTGACGCGTAACCGAATAAAAATGTGAGGGTAAATTTTTTTCCAACGCCGATAAAGAAGTTTCACTTCAATAAATAAAATCATGACTGTTATGTTTTAATATGTTAGATTTTTTTGCATGCTGTTAATATGGCTAAGTAGGTTTAAGTTTCATAGCTTAACATAAATGCTTTATATGCAAACACCTGTTGTCAACCCTATTTAATGCAAATAAAGTGTATTCTATTCTATCCGTTACCCTTGTATTCCATAACACAAGCCTTACAGTGCTTACTATGGGGCTAGGCTAATTGGTGTGAGTGTTTGGAAATATTTATTACTAGCGGCCCGCCCTCGCTTCGCTTCGGTGTAGAGCTGAAGTGTAGACTACAGTTTTTGTTCTCAGGCTTGTATTATACACAATGACATTCATCTATGATTCCTCTTATGCACCTGCATGCAAAGTCTCAGCCCGATCGGTTTAAAATTGACAAAGTTTCATACAAACTTTCATTCCCTATTTTATCCCCTTGGGGATAGAATTGATCAAAATCCTTTCTTAGCGGATGCTTACGTCATAACATCTACATGCATGCCAAATCTCAGCCCGATCCGTCCAGTGGTTTGGGCTGTGCGTTGATAGATCACTATGTCAGTCGGTCACTTTCGAGTTTTATATATATATGTCGGATGGGCGAGCGGGATAGAGGCGGTTGGCCACGTGGTTTTTCTTGATCCGCCATCTTGGTTATTCAATGATATTTCCCGAAAATAAAACTGTAGTCTAGTGACCAAGCTAACGTTTAATTTGAATCTTCTTATTACTTTACAAAATCAGTTATGATTGCCAAGGTACAAACGGATTGCTATGTGAAGCGCGGAGAGTTCTGTGCTAACGTCCGTTCACTATCGCGGCTCACGTCTGAATGCCGAATGCCCCTTCCAATGAAGCGTTACCCCCTTAAATACTACCCTTAGCATAGACCACTCCCAAGTGATGACAGCTGTCACTGTCATAACTTGACGTTTCACAAAGCAATGGTACAATGACTGATGACATTTGTTGTAGGTTTTACGTTTTGCAGGAGCGAGCGAGACGCCATCCGCCGACATATAGATTACTAGTGGCCCGCCCTCGCTTCGCTTCGGTGTAGAGCTGTAGTGTAAACTATACTTTTTGTTCTCAGGCTTGTGCTATAAAGAATGACTTTATTTATATAATTACACGTGTTATTGTGAGTCAACCATAAAAGATAGACATATGCTGTTGCGGGATATTTTTTAGACAATTTTATCCTTACACGCCTGAATAGCTCGCAGATTGCAGAATTTTTTCAGACTTAAATGACATTTATCGTTATATTTTGGACAATTCACACAATATCTTTATAAATTATAGCCTATGTGTTATTCTGATCTATAAGCTACATTACTGTAAAGTTTCATTAAAATCCGTTTAGTAGTTTTTGCGTGAAAGAGGAACAAACATCCATCCATACATCCATCCAAACAAACTTTCGCCTTTATAATATTAGTAAGGAAGTAAGGATTATTATTAAATTGACACGTGGTGTTGTTTCGTAGTTGTCCGTGGATAACGTGGCGATGAGTACCCGCATCGAGAGCGGGGGTACTCGGTCCCTCGAGCTGGCCGACTCTTTCTACGTGGGGGGCATCGAGCCCGATAAGAGGCAGCGCGCATTCACCCGCGGCGTCAAGGCGGCCGACTCCAGCCTCATGGTGAGTATCTAAACGAGTAGGAAACTAATAGGTCTCTTCAGAATAAAAGCGGTCTGCGATCGCAGTCAGATGTGGTCTGTGCCGTATAGAATGAAATAAAATGATATCTCATTAGACCTGGGTCCGATAATTTTAAAAATGGTGAAAAGTGAAAAAAAATTATAGTAGGATGAAACCCATTAGAAAAGGTAGAGAATATAACAAAAATGAAAGGAGAAATAAATTACGGGCGGTCTGAGGTCGGGAAGGGGGAGGGGGTGAGTTTTTAAGGGTAAAAAATGGTTAATCTCGTTTTCCGGTAAAACTGCAAGTCCAATGAAAAAAAGTTAAATGGCAAAGTTGTAGGTTATAAAAAGAAAAGTTATATATTTTTTTTATACCATCAGAAAGTAGAGATTTCAACTACTAGCTGGGTAAGCTAGTATATTATAAAGTCCTTTGCATCGTTGAATATCACATCTAACATCTTTGACTTTTCACGTAGATACGTTGGCGTGATATGACGACTGCGTAAAGCCATAATTCTTTATATTTGTTTCTTAGGTTTTCACGCATACCACTCTTTAAATAAAACAAGTTTCAACGGTAAAGATGAACTTTATTTGTTTGTTGACGTTTCGCGTCCTTTTCAGGTTACGTCGTCAGAATTTCGTTTCTCGGAATTCGTCAAAATTATGAGTAGTCGTCAGAATTATAATTATGATGATATTTCTGACGACGCTGCCTTAAAAGGATGCGAAACGTCGATTGCCAAATAAATCAGTGCATCTATACCATAATTCTGTATCTAAGTTTATCACCTCTCGGTAGATATATTTATTGTTGATTTGCATGAATTATTTTTGTACCAGTGAGAATCTTAACTACGATCTTAAAGTGTTATTAGCATTGCGATTTTGAGGGTTTCATGGCAAAAGGGAAAAAACGGGATCCTATTAGGAAGTCTTCACTGTCTGTCTGTCTGTCACCAGCGATAGCTAGATAGTTGGAACTTTCACACATGATTTATTTCTGTTGCCACTATAACAACAAATACTAAAAAAATGGATGCGTGTAACTTATGTACGCGCGTGAGAAGTTATACTTCTTTAGCATCATTAAAAATATTTTTAATAATTACAATTAAATAATAAAAGGACTGGAAAAGGATAGTTAACACAGTCAACTAAGTTCAGTTTTAATTTGAAAAATTAAATAAATATTCAAAATATTCAATTAAAATCACTACTGAATTTAAGTTATTAGTCCATATGTAATTAGCACTTGTAAGTAACTAAAACACGTTGTGTCTATATAGAAACTAGAAACATGTGGATAAATATTATAAATATGAAAACAGTGATCAGAGGCGACGAGCGTGCCAACATTGTTTTTGACAACGCGATCATCTTATGGAGCTCCGTGGATCGTTCAAAGTACCTTTCGAACAGATGTCTAATAATGGTGGATTATTAACCACTAAGTGGTTAATAATCCACCATTATTAGACACTAACATTCATAACGCGCCCGCGGCCAACTACATGGTGTTACTATTGTGTTACAGTGATGCGCGCGCATCTTAAAATTTCACTCTCATAATTTTTTCATAACGCGGCTAAAGAAGTATAACTTCAAAAACAGAATAAAATAAATATTAAAGGGGGTTCCGGTACCTGTACAAGCGGGCGCAGAAGTGACACCTCTGGCGACACCTCTGCGCCCGCGCTTGTGATGCGATACAATAATAATAATAATTTATTTATTTAAATCACAAAGATCATAGCATGCCAATGATAACATAATAAATAGTAATAATTGTGATAAATAAAAACAAATTAAATATACATAAACATTTAAATTGAAATTAACCGTACCGTCCGGTCTTTTGCTATCGTCTCTTGCTATACCAGTCGGTTCAAGTCGACTTGGCACGTTGACGGTGGCAAGGGACCGGCGTATGATATCGTTAAGTGCGATATGTCTCTAGAAGCGGCCTGCACTTTTTTGGCATGACAGTCTGTGATGTTTTAGCTTGTCGACATCACTGCCACAGGGACATTTATGAGGAGCGCAGACCGGAACCCCAAGCTGTAGACAGGTTGTGATTCGGAGTGTGTCAGGCTCAAGAAATGTTCCTGTATTTGACTAAGGGTACGAGTGAAGCCAGTGGCCGGCATCATGTGCACTTACGGCCAAAAGCCTAGCACGCGTCGAACCTGGAGGCCTACTCTATTTCAACGAAAAACGAAATTTCGATCGAAATTTCGCACGTTCCCTACTCTGTTTCTATTTAATTTCGAAAATTCGATCGTCCCAAAATAGTTTGACATTTAAATTCTCTAAGCCTACTTTTGAACTAAAAGTTGAAATTTTAACTCAAATTGACGAAATGAAAAGTGTTACCTTTTCATTTTCGTTTTGGGATTTTTGTTTAAATTAAAACTAAAATTACTACTAGAGTATTTTTAATTAAGGCTACTTAGCATGACAAACATTTTTTAGTAAGAAAGATTTACAAATAAATCTAATTTTTGATTATTATTGTATAGGTCACACTGTGCTATAAATGATTTTTGATGGCTTTATAATGTTTATATTAATAAATAATATAATAATACATATAACTAAAATTTATGAAGTCACTACGTGAATCATAGCCGCAAGGTTCACATAGTGACAGTCAAATCTACAAACAAGCATGAGCAGTCTTCCTCTGGAGAGCTTGACCAGTAAGACCTTCGTCACGGGGTGTTTAAAATACAAACCTAGATTATATAATCATGTTTATTGACATATTATTTTATTTTTATTGACATATTTATTAATTTTAATTATTGACAAATTTAATTTTATAAAAGAATTTCCATAATAATAATTACAAAATTAAACTAGTACTGTAAATAAGATCAATCGAGTAAGTTATAAAATTAATAAAATCAGATGACATTTATGCATGCTTTGAGAAAAAAAGTTGTTTAGTAAAATTATAGATATTAACGGGATTGTTACCATGTACCTTGTTTTTTATGAGTCTCCGATATTTCGGCACTGTTGCAAGCGCCATGATCACGGAGTAACTGAAGTAATTGCGGGTAGATGTTATTGGCAGACATATCGGTCTACCCTCTGACGTCGTCTTTTACTGCGTTCGATACTACCACTACCACTGGTCACATTCTCACTATTCACTCGCATTTGTTCCCGGCACACAATACTCACAGTATCAGATCGCGGAACGACACTTTTTTGATTTTTGCGGTTTTTACACATACGAACCACTGGATTCCACACACTAGACAATTTAAACCCATCCTCACGATTGAAATTCTTGTGTTTGGTTATTTCAATCGCTTCCCTGACCAATCTTGGTATGTAGTGGCGTTCTGTCGAGATAATTTGTGGATTATGGAGCTCAATCCAGTGATTAGGACCCGAATCAATTAAATGTTCCGCGATGGCTGATTTTTGCGTATCATTGATACGCATGATACGCAAAAATCATATCTATAATGTTAGTGAATATATCTATAATGTTAGTGACCATGAAAGTTTAAAACAATATAATGTATAGTAAAAATTAGGTTCTTCATATATAGATAATTGTTAATTTGTTAAATTCTTTTTTGTAATTTTTATCTATATTGCGATACCCTGACAGGGTTCATGTTAGGTACTTTATGCATCTTGTAACTTGTAACCATCCGTGTAACCACATGAGTGCAATAAATTGAATGAGGGCTATCGCGTATTAATCCGCCGCTAGAGGCGCTAGTGTAGCGTGAGGTCTCCGAAATGTCAAATGTTATTGCTTGTTGGTTGACTACGCGGGTTTATTTCTAATTAAAATAATGTTGTGAATAATCGGTAACAATTCGGCTTAATTATGGCAAATATGAGTTATGTGGCAATGAATGTCAGTTATTAAAAATTTGAGCTTAGAAAAATGATTATGTTCCCGTTTTTTCCGAGTAAAACGGAACTGCGCGTCACTGTGGCATGGCCTATTATGTTTAGGATATGGTTCTTTTGTGTCAAAATACGATCTAAATGTAACCTTTGATTTCATGTGCGTATTAATAAACTTTAGAAGTTACAATTTAGGACCTCACTCAACAGTGGCGCCATCTGGTGAGGCAGAAAACGGTAGCCCTCATTGAATAGGGATGATGAAGGGGTACAGTAAACGAAATTCTATTTAGTCCGTCAGTTAGATGATCAAAAAATAATGGACACTAATTTTTTCTTTGGGCAATCAACCAATAAATGACAAAGTTATAGCGCGTCAAAGTTTGGGAGTAGGTGCTCGTGACGTCACTTTTGAGTGAATTTTCACTTATAAGCGTACTCAAACGTGACGTCATGCGACATTTCAAATCAAGATATCTCTGCAATGATTATATTATGTGAAAAAAGAAAAAATACGTGTCCAATACTTTTTGATAATCTATTTATTTATTTATATAATCTACCTGATAAACGAAGAAAAAAAAAATTAGTCATCATCCCTATTGAATTGAATTGTTTATAGGGCTGCATGCGGCCCGTGGAGGCGGACGGTCGCGTGCTAGGCCTGCCGCAGGCCGCGGTGACTTTTGGCCTGAGCGCCCGCTGCGTGTGGTGGTTCCCGTGCATGACGCGCCCCCCGCCCTGCGCGCCCCACGCGGCCTGCACGCAGCGCGGCCTGCACCACTTCACGTGCAGCTGCGACCGCGGCCTATGCATCAACCCGGACTACGCGGACCAGTACAAGGTGACAGCCAATGTTACATCTCTTATCTATTAGACAAGTCTAAGTCTTATCTATTATACTAGTCGATGGACGGTAGTGGACGGTTTCGTTTCGTCGACGACCCACCTCTAACCTACATTTACAGAGGTACTCTTTATACAAAATCTAGCTCTTCTTATCATGGCCCAAATCTCCCTATTTCATCCATATGAGAAGCCTGTGCCTCCGTAGAGGGAACACGAATAGGCTGATGATGATAATAATGTGACATTAGAAACAACTTCTATTACACTAAGATAAAGAAAAAGTTTCGTTGTACAGAAGTCATTTCCCAAAAATTTACATTAAATTTTAAAACATCATTCAACCAATATCTCTTATCTATTAGACAAGTCCGTCCGTCTGTCTGTGGTGCTGTTTCAGCGGCCAAACCGTAAGAGGTAGATAAAGAGAATGTTTAAGTTATAAGTTAAGAATAGTCTGATAAGACTACATACCGGATTTGAGTAAAGTAGCGCTTCCGGTTTTCGAGAAATCACGAATTTCAAACGAAACCACACAAAATCTCCGAAGTTCTCAATTGATTAAATACATTTTTTTTTATTGGTTAACATTTGGTCCACTGGTTTGCTAGTGTATAATATTTTTCTTTACATATAGTAAGTTGTCCAATATATATTTTGATGCTACAGTTAGAATATTTATCTCCTTGAACTTTTTGACGTGACAACGTCTTAAATTAGGTTGCGGCTGGGAGTCACTTATGAAAAAGTGTAACGCTCGGTAACGTTACGATGAGTCTCGTAGCATGCTGGAACCCCGTAGCCGTGTAGCAAGTTTGCTACGAATCGTCGTAGCGTGGTTGCATGCTACGATGGTATTCACAAGCACAATGCATTGTAATATGTTTTTTTGACGTATTATATATATTTCTATAGTTAAAATTTGTGCAATTCTTATTTTCATTCAATTCCTTGTTCCTATTGTGCAATTTAATTATATTCATATCAATAAATATTCTACCGAGAAAAAGACGTTGTCACGTAAAATCTTCGCCCGTAAAACCGACTTTACAGGCAACCATTTTTTTTTTCGCTCTCCTCTTATATGACAGTACCGTTTTCGTCCACATTCAGGTGTTCACCCGCTCCAGCAGCGAGCTGGAACTGGTATCGCTGTCCCCTCTAACGGTGATGGAAGGCGGAGTGGCAGTCATAACCGCGCAGCACATCGACGTGGTGCTCGATCACCACAAGTACGGGGTTCGACCCTCGGGCGTGGTGCTGCACGTGAGCCAGCCCCCTCACCACGGCCGGATCGCGGTGGATCTGTCGCCCCAGCGGAACAATTACATCGATGTTGAGAAGGGCAAGCAGTTCTTCACGCTGCTGGACTTGACCAGGGATAAGGTGAGACTTACTAATGGCCGGGTGGCCTGCCGCCTAAACTATAATAATAATAATAATAAATATTTCCAACACTCACACCAATTAGCCTAGCCCCAAAGTAAGCACTGTAAGGCTTGTGTTATGGGATGCTAGGGTAACGGATAGAATACATATACTGTACACATATAAGTATATTTATATAGAAATAGATATTAAACATCCATGACTGGAGTACAAATGCTCGTATTCATCACACAAACATCTACCCCCACCGGGATTCGAGCCCGAGACCTCTCGAGTCGGCGACACCATGAAACCCGGCGTACAAACCACTCGGCCACGGAGGTCGTCAATTTCTACTAAATTTCATTCGACATAATTAATTCCGTATTTTTGAATCGCTCGAGTGCAACGAATGGGTGAGACCACTCGTTGCATGGCGAATGGTGGAGGCGAATGATAGAGTAATTGTCAATTTTTTTTGTGCTATTAGATGACGATAATCTATGCTTGTCATGCTTTATATAAAACTAGCGGACCCGACAGACGTTGTCCTGTCTAATATGGTAGCGCCGTCTGTCGGATCCAATGTAAAACATTCCAAAATCAACAACTACTAATAAATTAAAAATTAATTAAAAAAACATTGTCCAGCGGACAAAATTGTGAATCTAAACCATTCTCAGATCCCCTTGCACAAACACAAAAAATTTCATCAAAATCGGTCCAGTCGTTTATGAGAAGTTCAGTGACATACACACTCACAGAAGAATTATATATATAAAGATGACAAGGGCAGACTGATGTCAAGTTTCTTCTTCTTTTAATAAGGCATGAGCCATAATGCATGATAACAAACGGCAATCACGAATAGCCAAGGAAAGTGCCGGCATAATGAACGACAAAATACAATTGTATTATTTACAAAGTCATGTACTGAGAATTTTTCGTTCGGTAGTCATTGCGGTAATTACCAGTTTTTATTTTTCGTGCATTAAATGAGTAAAATTTTATATTTCGTATTAAACTAGTAACACCGATGACGAACGATTCAAAAATACGGACAATCAGTATCATGTGACTTGCTCAATTCTATTCAAGGTATCTATGGTTGAGGATAGGTCTTTAAAAATGATATTGAGGTTTCCAATAGATATTCCCAAAGTGGCTAAATGTTTTTATAGCACAGTGTGACCTAAACCCGCACTTTACGCACGCGTTTCCGTGACCTAAGTTGCCTATTTCTGCACGGTGTGTAAATGAATTGACCAACTTCATTCGTGTAGAAAAAATGAAAGGAAACACATTTAAATGTCATTTGGAGCTTAAAAACTCACAGCAAACAAATGACAAATTAGCGATAGGTTAGGAATTTTCAGTGACAGCCAAAACAAGGAGAAACGGTTAGCTATAATTCATTCCGCGAGAATTGTATCTTTTGGTCGAAAATGGCCAGTTCGGATAGTGACCTAAGCGAATACGAGAACGGTGAAATTGTTCCGGACGCAATTAAAGAAGTGGCGAAGTCGATGACATTGAATTTGTTGCCTCCGGCCCCCCCGAACCCCCCCTCTTGCCCGCGTCCGGGGCGGGTTTATGTCACACTTGCTATAAAATAGTATACGATACTTGTGGCCTAAGTTGCCTATTACTGCACGGCGTTTAGCACCGGGCGCTAACTTCACGCCGTGCAGTAATAGGCAACTTAGGTCACGCGTATCGTAATGTACTATTAAATACACGCAACCTTACCACTTTTTCACTGATATTATTACTTTGTTGAAGTTATACTTCTTTAGGCGCGTTATGAAAAAATGATGAGAGTGAAATTTTAAGATGCGCGCGCATCACTGTAACACAAAATTTTAACATAATGAAGTTGGTCCAACTTCATGCGTTACTTTTGTGTTTACCGCACATTAAGAAAATCTACCAACAAAATAGAAATAGAATCTCTATTTAGTGGGTGCTAACGACTGCATTGTGAAGGCCTATCAAAAGTATTTATTAATCTGGAACAACGGAACCAAAGCGCGATTCAGGAGACTACAGCGCCATCTCTTGACCATTGGTGTAGTAGAACCAAAAACCACATCTTTATTTTTTGTAATAAAGTAACAGTTATAGGTATTCATATTTATAATATTTATCCACATGTTTCTAGTTTGTATATTCGGAATACGTGTTTGAGTTTCATACAAGTGCAAATCACATATGTTCTAATAAATTATATTCAGTAGCGATTTTAATTGAATATTTTGATTATTTATTTATTTTTTCAAATTAAAACTGAACTTTATTGACTTCGTCCTTTTCCAGAGTTTTTATTAATTTAGCGTAATTAATTATTTGCATGCAATTAAAAACTAATTTTAAACGATGCCAAAGAAGGATAACTTCTCACGCGCCTACATAAGTACACGCACCCATTTTTTTTAATATTTATAAATACTTCAGTTAATAGTTTTACAGATTTTACTTAAAATTGTTTTTGACAAGTTAATGAATTGGCACATTGTCAACAAAGTTGTTTTGTTATGGTCTAGACCAGAGGTTCCCATACTTTTTTGTGTCGTAGACCCTTTGCATGTTTTTAGTATTGGGTAGACCCCTACTTACCTGATATTGATTTTTTGTAAATTCTTATCTGAAGGGAAGATAGTGTAACAAGATGATACTGGTTTAACATTATATGCAGGTTTATACAACTTCAAACGGTATTGCGACCACAAAGCGAATATCTTACAACTTACAAAATTTTATAAACATATCTATACTTATAATAAATCTGTAGAGAGGTCAATTCTGTACATGAAATATATTTTCAAAATAACTATCAGGGGGTGATTAGTGATCGATACTGATGTCAAAAATGCAATTTTTTGTCTGTCTGTCTGTCTGTCTGTGTGTATGTTCCTTATAGAAACAAAAACTACTCGACGGATTTTAACGAAACTTGGTACAATTATTCTTCATACTCCTGGGCAGGTTATAGTATACTTTTCATCACGCTACTACCAATAGCAGCAGAGTAGTGAAGGGAAATGTTGGGAAAACGGGAGAAGTTACTCCATTTTTAAGCTTCCGTCGCGTGTGCAGCCTTAATGGTTAAAGTTACATAGAAATCATGTATGACGAAAATATTCTACATAAAATTGTCTATATAATATCCCGCAACAGCATATGTCTATAGCACAAGCCTGAGAACAAAAACTATAGTTTACACTACAGCTCTACACCGAAGCGAAGCGAGGGCGGGCCACTAGTATATAATATTTTTTATTATTTCATAGGTACTTTTATAAATAATGTATATTATGTCTTTTTAATAGAAGATAGCATAATGTAAGTAAATAAGTGTTATCAGTGTATGTTGAGATCCATTATTGTGGACCCCCATTTTCATTTCATGAACCCCCAAATTTTTTTTTCGCTGACGTAGACCCTTTGCAGGTCGTCACAGACCCCTAGGGGTCAATATGGACCACTTTGGGAATTACCGGTCTAGACTCTAGCACCATAGAGAATTGCACTGAACTGAAATACTGCTTGCGTCGATGCTACACCCATAACAACATTAAAATAACATTTTGACGACCTCCTTGGCCGAGTGGTTTGTACGCCGTGTTTCATGGTGTCGCCGACTCGAGAGGTCCCGGATTCGAATCCCGGTGGGGGCAGATGTTTGTGTGATGAATACGAGCATTTGTACTCCAGTCATGGATGTTTAATATGTATTTCTATATAAATATACATATACTAGCTGACCCAGCGAACTTCGTACCGCCATAAAAAAAATTAATTAAAAAAACATTGTCCAGCGGACAAAATTGTGAATTTAAACCATTCTCAGATCCCCTTGAACACACACAAAAAATTTCATCAAAATCGGTCCAGTCGTTTAAGAGAAGTTCAGTGACATACACACTCACAGAAGAATTATATATATAAAGATATGTACTGTATATGATATGTATTTTATCCGTTACCCTACTATCCCATAACACAACAAACAAACAAACAAACAAACAAAATAATTTTATTTGACACAGTAGGCTTAAAATAGGTAGGTACATTTTCAATTTACATGCAATTATTTAAATGAATATCTATAAGTAACAAAAGAAAATAAAATGTATTACAAAAAACAAACAAAAAAGAGGTAAATAATGCAAACTTGAAAGTGCCTGCCTGCGCCAAAAAGGGTCAAAGTTCAGCATTGTGTCAGCTCAATGAGCTGACGCTGGTTTTCAACTAGACCCTGGACTATAAACTAAACCCCAGCCCCCAATGTATGTCCAAAACACGTTTCCTCCTTACAAATTAAATAAAAATAAAATACGTGCGATTTATATAGAAGAAAAATTAAAAGTATACATACATACTAATAAATTTACCGAACTTTTACTGATACAAGTATTTATGATATATAACATACATACTAATAAATTTACCCAACTTTTACGGATACAAGTGTTTATGTAAACACATACATATATACATATACAAACACAAAAATACCAATGAAGAAAGGCTAAATATACGAGTCGTTGTGCTGAAAGTTTTCTAATTCCTGTTGAGCATCCTGTAAATATTTCTTTAGGTTTTTTTGAAAGAATAAATGGATTTAGAATTTCTTAATGATGGGGGCAGATTATTCCATATTTTAGAAGCGGCGTAGCGGAAACTACCTCTGAAACTAGCCAATCTGTGCGACTGTGTAATTAACAAGCCTTACAGTGCTTACTTTGGGGCTAGGCTAATTGGTGTGAGTGTTGAAAATATCTATTTTCATCCCACCACCTCGGAAAGTGTAATTTTGCGCTTCGAAATCTGGCTGGAAAATTCTATTTTATTCGCTTGAGCGGCAAAGTAGATTTGAATTTAGAACATCACATATAATGAGTACTCAATATAATTGTAAATTCAAAACGTCATTAAACCTATTTAATGTAACCTCTATGGTGCCAAATTTATGATTAGAACTTTTTAAATTGTGAAAAAATTTAAATTTGGAACCTTCTTGGTTTCTTTGTTTTATTTGCGTGCTTCGCGCCATTCTAGTTTTTCACGTTTTATTGCTTAAATATTTTGTCATTATAAATTGTTTTCTTTTTCATTTTGTCATTTCCTCGCTGAGGTGGGATGAAAAGTTACGTATTGCACTCGAGTGGAAAGATTTTTCACCTTGTGCTCGTTTGTTTCCCTCGCTGACGCTCAGGATTCTAATTTAGAATCACTCGCTGCGCTCGTGATTCAACTTTAGTATCCTTCGCTTGCTCGGTCATCCAAATCGAGCACGCGGTTAAAAAGGAACTTTCCACTCTTGTATAATAAATAACTATTATTTATTTTTATTTCTAACACTTATAACCGGTGCAGGTGCGGTATGTGCACGACGGCTCCGAGAACCACCAGGACGCGATAGTTCTGGAACTGGAGCTGGTGCCCGAGGCCAAGTTCACGCTGCCAGGCTACCTGCAGGGGCGCAGCGCCTTCGTGCTGCACGTCAACGTGACCCCGGCCAATGACCCACCAGCGCTGGGCCTCATGCCGGGCCGGCTACTCAGGCTGACGCAGGTATATGAAATGAAATGAAATGAAAAACCTTTATTGGCCATTTTAAGTACATATTGGTGTCGATTCTAGCATGATTCTCTAAACCTAAACTTAAATTTCACAGCAGTTATATCCTTGTCATTCTCTATACAGAATGAAAAGGAGAGACTGATGTTAAATTTAGTTTTAAGTTTAGAGAATCACGCCAGAATTGGCACCATTAAAAATACTATAAATATAAACAAAAGAATAAAAGAAGAACTTAACCTAAAAACAAAAAAATAACAACATAAAACTAAGACGGTCAATCAGGATTCTGCCTCAGCTTATGCTGACACAGTGGGAGAGTACTCTCTCACTGTATCAGCGCTGGTATTCTGGCAGGGCCTGTGCGATATACGAGATATTAGGCGCTAACAAGTAACAAAACAACACATTTATGCTTAACTAATCATATTTTATTTTATTGCGCATACACACATACATACACACACGCTGATATAAATATATATATTCACAACATTTATATATATATATATATATATATATGACTCCAAGGCTACAATACCAACGCGTACAAAGAAATTAGGTGACTCATTTCTTTGTCGCACTATCCGTAAATGGAATGCTCTGCCCGCTCACGTGTTCCCTCCCTCTTACAACCTGGGATCCTTTAAAAGAGGCGTGAAGAAGCAACATGCAGGCCGGCAGGGTGAGGATGGCTGGTGTGGCAGGTAGAACTGCTGTATCAGCTATCTTGGCGTCTGGACTTCACCTTCACTTAACATCAGGTGGGGTGGAGTCATTTGTCGGAACTATCTATAAAATAAAATGTGTGCGTGTACTAGTGTACACACGTAAGAAGTGAAACTTCTTTATGGCCTTATTTTTTTCGAAAAATGATCTACATGCAACTTTCCAGAAATATATATATAGGCCTTACCTTACCTTACCTTACCTTACCTTACCTTACCTTACCTTACCTTACCTTACCTTACCTTACCAAATAAAACAACCGCAATAGGATTCACATCACAAGCAAGAAAAATCAGACTCACCATGAACCACACACAAATTCCATTCCACAACCAAATAAAATACCTTGGTATTATTATCGATTAAAAACTAACATTCACAAATCACATACACAACACAATAAACAAAGCCAAATCTATATATAATAAGTTGAAAATGTTTGTCCGCCCCACCTGGGGAGTACACTCCGAAAATATAAGAACCATATACTTACAAGTCATCGAGCCTATTATAACCTATGGGTGCAGAGTATGGCACATAGTACCAAAAAACAAATACATACGCAAAAAATTAATATCGCTCCAAAGATCATTCTGTTTAAATATTAATCGTAGCTTCAAGACCGCCAACACCGCGATTTCAATTGTCCTTGCCGACCTTCCACCACTAACCGATAAAATACTTTCAATAGCAGAAATCGAAAAAGTTAAATCATGTACAACCACACAATATCTCCCAGAAGAAATAACGCTTGATACATTAGCCAAGCCTTCTACACTACTTCACCCCTCTCTCCGTAACCCCATATCATTTAGCTCTGCGAATTCTCAGGAGGAACTCGACAGCATTCTATGTAACACAGCCACAATCGATTTACATATTTACACCGATGGCAGCAAACAGGACGATGATGTCGGCGCTGCCGTTGTCATTCAAGCACCTGACGGCCATGTGAGTAAAATGAAATATAAACTTCACCACTCCTGTTCTGTCTATCAGGCAGAGCAACTAGCTATCCTTAAAGCCTGCGAATTCATTGAAACTCAAGATTCATCCGCCTTTATCATCTCCGACAGCTTATCATCACTCATAGAACTACAGAACCCATCTAGTTACAATAGATTAACAGTCCAAACTTTTCTGCATATCCACAATATTGAGAGCCGAGGCAGACACGTAAGCTTTATATGGGTTAAGGCTCATGTAGGGATATTCGGTAACGAGTAAGCCGACCAAACAGCTAAGAAAGCAGCCCTCTCAAATATGCAACCTTCGTTTAAAAATTTCCCAATCAGTTACATCAAACAAATTAAACACAAAGAACTTGCAATAGCAAAACAAAAACTGTACGAAGAACCGCAAAATTGTATATACACAAAGAAGCTTTTCCCATCCTACTCAAATCTAACTTCTTTCCTTGCCAAAATCCCCGTCTCATTCCAAACAACCCAACTTCTAACCGGCCACGGATATAATGAACAGTACCTGCACCGATTCCATATAACACCAGATCCTTTCTGTCCTTGCGACAGTACCAGCCCTCAAACCTTTGAACACCTACTTTACCTTTGCCCGAGATTCCAGTCCACCAGGACTGATCTTAATATTTTATGCAGTATGCACAATCTAAATATTAAAAACCTCAACGTCATAGCTACAAAAAATGACACTAGTGAACTATTTTTAAAGCACCTATTCCACATTATTAAAAACCTCAAAAAATTCAATAACACGTAAACTAAGCCATATCAGAAAAACATAAACTCATATTATTAAAATCATAAAACACACTTAGTAAACCCTAAATACTAATAACTAATACTATTTACTAAAACACATTTATAACGAAAACTGAAATCAAGCTTAATACCAAAGGCGCAGTCCGTAAGCGCCCGCGGTATATTAGCATCTTCTTAAGGTAATCTCATATCAACCTTACCTTACCTTACCTTACCTTACCTTACCTTACCTTACCTTACCTTACCTTACCTTACCTTACCTTACCTTACCTTACCTTACCTTACCTTATCTTACCTTACCTTACCTTACCTTGTGTGAAACACGAATATTTGCTGTCGATACTTTTTTTTTTTTAAAGTTGACAGAAGAAGCAATTGTTCGGATGAGGTAAATAGTGCTCTTTTAAAAAAAAGATGGCGCGTAACCAAAAAACGTGACGCGTAACCGAAAAAATGTGACGGTAAATTTTTTTCCAACGCCGATAAAGAAGTTTCACTTCAATCACTATCTCGATAATCCACAAAAAAGAGTCACTATCTCATCACTGTCAATAATTATTATAGACGTGGTGAATTAATTAAACGATAAAACTTACAAATCGACTCAAACGCAGCAAGAATAACGTCGATCAAACAAACAAAACTAACATCACCACAACAGAAACGTAATTGACATTGACACTGACAGTTCCGTAATTAAGCGTTCCGAATCGCCATGAATGTATATTTTGAGTTTCGAAAATACGCAATGTTTACTTAATGAATTGGTGAGATAAAATAAAATGATGTAAAGGAAGAGGAGCTCGATAGCGCAAGTGGTTAGCGCGTTCGGCTGCGATCCTTGAAGTTAAGCAACTTTCGCAGTGGTCGGTCATTGGATGGGTGACCAAAAATTTACTATCTCGAGCTCCTCCGTGCTTCGGAAGGCACGTTAAGCCGTTGGTCCCGGCTGCATCTGCAGTCGTTAGCACCCACCAATCCGCACTGGGCCCGCGTGGTGGGTCATGGCCCAATCTCCCTATTCCATCCATAGGGAAGGCCTGAGCCCCAGCAGTGGGGACATTAATAGGCTGATGATGATGATGAAAGGAATTACATATTTTATTTTATACTTTAAAATCTTATTTACTTATACAATGGCTGAAGCTTATAAGACGAACAATAAATTTTATGTTCATTGTTACACCTCGGAAATAACAGACAACTATTATCGGAACGTGCAAGATTTCGAAAATGAACTTTTGACATACGGATACGAATTTTTTTTGCGGAAGTAGGTAATTGCTAATTATTTAGCATCATTTATATGATTTTTTTAAAAGGTGGTTAAAAAAATCGGTTAAGAGTCAGTACATAATACACACAAAAATAAAATTATTTGTTTTGGTGTAAATATATCTATGACGCTATTTGGTACGGGGTATGAGCATTGCCCTTTTTTCTTCCTCTATCAGGTAGATTATATCAAAAAGTATTAGACACGTATTTTTTCCGTTTTTGCATAATAAAAAACATTACTCCCAATCTATGACGCGATTTACCTTAGTAATTTTTTGTTTGATTGACCAAAGAGAAAATAAGTGTTTAAATCTAAAGAAAAGTTTACTAGAAAAAAATCCACGTGGACCAGGCAGCGGACGGGACTCGAACCCGCATCCTTCGCTATCCGGGCGAATGCACTGACCATTATGCTACCACGGCCCTATTAGCCGCGTCGAAATTTTCCTAGCCTTAAGCTGCAAGGCAGCGCCATCTCTTCGCATTGTAGGTAACCCACAATGTCAAATGAATACTTTTTCAAGTATTAAACATTTGAAAGAAGAAATAGCAATTATAATTATGATTTTATTTATTTTTTAAGCATTTAACTGCTAGAAAAAAAAACTGTTTAAATCTAAAGAAAAGTTTACTAGAAAAAAATCCACGCGGACCAGGCAGCGGACGGGACTCGAACCCGCATCCTTCGCTAACCGGGCGAATGCACTGACCTTTCTTTAGGTTCTTTCTTGAATTTCTTTAGATTTAAACATCTAGCAGTTAAATGCTTAAAAAATTAATAAAATCATAAAAAAAAAAAAAAAAAATTCAATATCGTTTATTCAGTCTAGGCTGTTACAAGCACTTGTGAATGTCGAAAAGCTACGCCATCGGTTCGCAAATCTACGGCGGGAGACCTTGTACTGAGAAGAACCGGCAAGAAACTCAGCAAGGGCTGTTTTTTTCTCCCTGTATTATATACAGAGTCGTCAAATTGAAAAATGACTTCAATATGAGGTAACTCATAAAGTCACTTTTCATTACAAACAAAAAAAAATGCAAATAATATAAAAATTATGACTATAAAATAAAAAATTAAAATATGTAAAAAAAATGGTTTAACAAAGTTTAGGAATGACGTGTCCTACCGCTTAGGCAAAAAGAAAATAATAATAATGAACGATTAAAGTTTAGAACAACGATTAATAGTAGTACCCAGTGAATTAAGAGCAGACTCATCTCCGCTGGCAGCACCCGTTCACGAGCATGACGCATGAACCAGCCATCGCTTCGCTCAACCATTTTTTAGGGAACGCAACGACCCGCCTCACACGACACCACCGAAGAGATTTTTAAGAGAGCATGACTACTCATAACCACACATGGATACTATGTTACTAAAATAGAAAAAAAAATACATATAGGTACCAGTGTACATTATTATAAAAAACTATAAACACAACGGCAGGACACATGCATGTGATTACCTAAACACTGTTGTCGACCCTGGCAATACTCTCCCAACCCAAAACCAATCAAACATCAGTCCCCCCCTTTCAGTCTGTATAGAGAATGACAAGGATACACCACTGCAAAACCAAGTTCAGGTCTAGAAAAACATACCAGAATCCACACCGCCATTAAATCTTTATCAGAGAAATAATATATGTTCACTTACATTTTGATTGCTGTGTCACACAGTATAAATACAAGTTGTGTAATGTAAAATACAATCAAAAATTAATAATAATTATCATTACAATAATAAAGTAGTATAGAGCAGACTCATCTCCGCTGGCAGCACCCGTTCACGAGTATGACGCATGAACCAGCCACCGCTTCGCTCAACCATATTTTAGGGAACGCAACGACCCGCCTCACACGACACCGCCGAAGAGATTTTTAAGAGAGCATGACTACCCATAACCACTAAAACCAATCTGCAAAATGGTTACTTAGAGTTAAGGTAATTTATCTGTACGACACTGCAAACAAATACAAAACAATTTTGCAGTTACAGCCATGCAGTTTTGTCATTCAAGTATTCTTTAATAGTATAATAGCCTTTCTTAACTAAACAACTTTTAATGTGACATTTGAACTCATTTATGGGTAACTCAAGAACAGCATCAGGAATTTTATTGTAAAAATGTATACCTTGACCCATAAAAGATCGGTAAAGCTTCTGTAACCTGTAGGCTGGCAATGCAAGCTTGTTTCTATTCCTAGTATTAAAATTGTGTACGTTACTGTGTTTGGTATACAAATTGATATTATTTTTAACGAGGAGTATGCAATTGTAAATGAATTGAGAAGCAACAGTCAAAATGCCAATTTCTTTAAATTTTTCTCTAAGAGATGTTCGGCTACTCAATTGATAAATAGATCTCACAGCTCTTTTTTGTAAAATGAAAATACTTTCAATATCAGCTGCTGTTCCCCAGAGTAAAATGCCGTATGATAAGATACTATGAAAGTAACTAAAATATACAGTCCTGGCAGTATCTATATCAGTAAGTTGTCTTATCTTTCTTACGGCATAAGCTGCTGAACTAAGTTTACCAGCCAAAAGCGTAATGTGATGACTCCATTGCAGTTTTGAGTCTATCGTTATACCCAAGAATGTAGTCGAGTCTACTAAATCTAATTTTTCATTATTTAATTTAATTCCAATATGCTCAACTTTTACATTAGGTAAGGAAAATTGAATACACTTGGTTTTATTAGCATTTAGCTTTAGATTATTGACATTAAACCATTGCAGAACTTGAGAGAGAGCATTATTTACATCGTCATAGTTGTTTTTGCGCCTGTCAACGTTAAATAATAAAGATGTGTCATCAGCAAATAATACAATCTCACACAAATTTTCCACAAAAAATGGCAAATCATTTACATATATTAGAAACAGGAAGGGACCTAAAATTGAACCCTGGGGAACGCCCATTTCCACATGAGATCCAGATGATCTAACACCATTTACCTCTACAGTTTGTATTCTGGAACTGAGGTACGACTGTATCAATTTATATGCAGTACCTTTGACTCCATAATGACTCAATTTCAATAACAGCGTGTGATGATCAACGCAATCAAAAGCTTTGGATAAGTCGCAGAACACTCCAAGGACATTCTGCGACCTCTCCCAAGCCTCCAATATACTCCTTACAAGTGCAACACCCGCATCAGTAGTAGATCTACCTCTAGTAAAACCAAATTGTTTCCTATGCAAAAGTTTATTAAGGTTGAAATGAGGCATCAATTGTTCCAGAATAATTCTTTCAAATATTTTACTAAGAACCGGTAATATTGATATAGGCCTATAGTTTCCAGGGTCATTTCTATTTCCTGATTTAAAAAGAGGTATAACTTTACTGTATTTCATTAAATCCGGAAATACTCCTTGATCAATACAGTTATTAAATATATCAACTAGATAAGGAGCAATAACGGGTATTATACTTTTAATAACTTTAGTAGAAATACCCCATAAATCACTTGTATTTTTTTGTTTAAGAGATTTAAAACACTTAATAACATCAATAAAATTAATATGTCTGAACTGAAACACGTTATCACACCTAGGTACATATTTCTCGAGCAAAGTCTTGGCAGCCACCGATGAAGAACTTAAATTAGATGTAGCCACCAAAGGAATATTAACGAAATATTCATCAAAAATGTTAGCGATATGTTGTTTAGATTTTATTAACATGTTATTCGACTTAAGTTCAACAATATCGTCACGTGACCTTTCTTTGCCTGTTTCACGATTTATAACATTCCACGTTGTTTTGATTTTATTATTCGATTTACATATTTTATTTTTAATAAAATTAGATTTGGCTGTTGCACATACCTTTTTAAAGGTTTTAGAATAACATTTAACGTAATCAATAAAACCTTGTGAATGATTATATTTTCTTAGATGATACAATTCATAAAGTTTGTTTCTACTTTTATAGATACCAGTCGTAGCCCAGTCACAGAACTGTAACTTTGGAGTAAGTTTCGAAGTTTTTAAGGGAAAAGCCTTATCAAATTCATTTCTTATTAGATTAAAAAGATCCCCAAAAAGAATATCAGGATCATCATGTGTCCATGGGATATGAGAAATACTATAGACAATGTTTTTTTGAAAAATTTCTAACCGGTTTTCTGTTACTGGTCTCAATTCAATCACTTTAGATTCATTTGTTACATCTATTTTATATTGTATTTTTAAGCCATAATGGTCAGATGTAATACTATTAAAAATGGATTTATTATCAGGAGTACTATCTGTAAATACGTTATCCAAACAAGTTGCTGAATGTGATGTCACCCTAGTAGGCTCAAAAAATTGATGGGTCAAATTAAAACATTTAAATAATGATATTATACGTACTGACATTGAATTTTGTTCAAGAATATTAATATTAAAGTCACCGCAAACAACCAAAAACTTATTTTTCGACTTTAACTTTTTCAGTACATCCTCCATCACAGATTCAAAAATGTTGAAGTTACCTAGAGGGGGTCTGTATACGCATACTATTATCATCTCATTTAATTCCACACAAGACAGCTCAATGCTACGTTCAATTGAAAGGCCAGCTATATCCTTTCTATCCTTACATTTAATATTTTTGTTAACAAAAATCAATGAGCCGCCATGTATGGCTGTCCTACGAACATAAGCACTCAACAATTGAAAGTTGTTTATGTGATACGACATTTCACAAAGCTTGAGCCAGTGTTCTGTTAAACATATAATGTGTATGTCCTCACTTTTTGAATACAATTCTAATTCTAGGTCTTTGCCAGCCAAACCTTGTATATTTTGATGAATAATATTAATAACTCTTTTATTAGGTTTGGCTTTTGTCTTTAAGCTCAGTTTAAAACTGGGCTGGTTAAGTTATTAATAGAATTAATATTTCTTTTACTAGAAATACTAACACTATTTTGTCGAATACAGTTAGTTATACCATGTATAACCGTATTTTGTATATTAAAAGCTAACAAATTAGCTATCTGGGTCCTATATTTCTTTGCGAGATACATAGTATCTGTAGTCAACTTAAAATATCTAATATATTTATTTATATCGAAATATAAAAATACGTCACTATGACTATTAATTAAATTATAAAGACTTAAATTTAAATTAAAGATGCGCTTATTCTGTTCCCTAGATAAGTTATGTGCATATGGGAAAGCGCTAATTATTATTTTACAATTAGATTCAGATTGAATTTTCAATAAGTGCTCAACACTTTTTGTAATGTCCCGTATTGATAATCTGGAACTGTCACCACACAAAAACAGTAAGTTAGTATAACTATCCACATTATGGTGGGTCAAGTTATTTACAATTTCATGAAATGATTTTCCAGGAGTACATATATTTATAATGTTTTCATCACTGGAATTTTTAATTAATAGTCCTAGCCCCTGACCTAACTTGTCTGAGAATATCATTGTTTTATTTTTATTCAAGTTTTCAGAAAGCGCTGGCTTGAAAGGAGAGTTATTATATGTTGTACCAATTGTTTGTATATAGACCGATGAATGACCAGAAGTATGGGAAACTTGATTATTATCTGTATTTACATTTCCTTCTAATGATAATGTCAATGATGATTGATTTGAAGAACCAATCAATTGACTTTTAATCAAGGAGTCATAACGTTCTGCGTTGAAATTGCACAGTTCAACTAATTCTGTTGCAGATTTTATGTGCTCAGTTATTTGACTTTGTGCACTAGCATATTTATGTTTCATTGAATCTATCGAATCATGTAAGTTTTGAATTTCTAATAGTAATTTCTTTGTATCCCGGTCATACATCTGCCTACTTTCATAAATAAGTGTTCATTATTTTTAGTCTAAAATAAGATGCTGTATTTTTTTTACATAATTGTTTTGTAGTGTCTCGGCGAGCATGCCCCACGCGTAGATGAACTAACATTATTTTATTTAACTTTATTTTGTTTTTGCGTTTAATCTCATGTTATAATTTTAATTTTCAGAGTGTGCGCAGAGCTTCAGTTACTTTAAATGATTTGCTTTTGAGTAGTTGCATGTTATATTTACCACGTTTGCGTCCGAGAGCACCCGACCCTAACAATAAGTGTAATGTGTGAGTACAATTAATGATTTATTTTATAAATACAAAAGGAGGTCGCTAAAAATGGACCAAATAATGTACCGGGGCACACTTTGCGGAAATTAATATGCTATAATAACCTGAATATTAATTTAATGTATAATTTTTAGACTTGCAACGAATATTCGGTTACTATTCGGTATAACGTAAGCGACTCTCGCGGTGGTCGGTCATTGGATGGGTGACCAAAAATTAGTATCACGAGCTCCTCCGTGCTTCGGAAGGCACGTTAAGCCGTTGGTCCCGGCTGCATCTGCAGTCGTTAGCACCCACCAATCCGCACTGGGCCCGCGTGGTGGGTCATGGCCCAATCTCCCAATTCCATCCATGGGGAAGGCCTGTGCCCCAGCAGTGGGGACATTAATAGGCTGATGATGATGATGATGATGATGATGATGATTCGGTATTCGGCCTATTCGGCTTCTTTTATTATATTCGGCCGAATACCGAATATCTACAAATTATTCGGTCGAATATCGAATACTTAAATAATATATTTTGTCATAGAGAAATAATTGGTAAACTGAAAAATTAAAATCGATTGATTACGTATATATATTCATATTTTCAATTCTGTTATATATAATCATTTAAGTAGTCATTGGTACATAACGCAGGTATATAATCATCCTCTGAATTGGAAAAATGGAGGATTCTATGTATTTGAATTATTGTGGTAATCAAAATTTAGAAGGGTAAGGTTCTCATTTCATTTTTAATCATTTATTAAGTAGTCATTGGTACATAACACAGGTACATAATTTAATCATTCTCTGCATTAAACCAGTTAACAGTTTTTAATTCATTCAGTCATGTGATGAATGGTTACATAATAGCAATAACTTAGAGTTTACGCGCCGTTTCTAGCCATATCTCAAAAGTTGGTTTGTAGCACAGTGTGACCTAAACCCGCACTTTACGCACGCTTTTCCGTGACCTAAGTTGCCTATTTCTGCACGGTGTGTAAATGAATTGACCAACTTCACTCATGTAGAATTAGTACATTACGATACGCGTAACTTAACTTTACTATGCCAATCAAGGAATAAACGGTCATGGATACATTGAAATTCTATTTTGTTGTAATGATATTTGTTTTTTTCCTTTTGAAATATACTTTCAAAATGGTAATCTGAACCGGAATTCTTTCTTTTCAGAGTTTGACTTGCAGTCTGTATTGCAATTCTTTGTGATTGCAATACATGAATTTTACTTTCAAAACACTAATCGCATCCCTCCCCCCCCCCCCCCCTCTTGCCCGCGTCCGGGGCGGGTTTATGTCACACTTGCTATAAAATAGTATACGATACTTGTGGCCTAAGTTGTCTATTACTGCACGGCGTTTAGCACCGGGCGCTAACTTCACGCCGTGCAGTAATAGGCAATTTAGGTCACGCGTATCGTAATGTACTATTTGTCATTTAGCCGCATTTTAGCTTGAGGACGGCAGATAAGAACAAAAAAAAGGAGCGCGAAACACGTCTGTACAAGTTTTTGGCGCTAAAATCCAGCCGAATACTTTTGTCTAATATTCGGCTATTCAGTCAGGGGAATCGCCGAATATTCGGTATTCGGTATACTGCCGAATATACTATTCTTTGCAAGTCTAATAATTTTCTTTTGTTAAATTAAAGAAAAGAAAATATAAAGAAGATTTTGTTTGATTGACTCGAACACGGACCCTTCGCTATCCGGGCGAATGCACTGACCATCATGCTACCGCGGCCCTATGGCCGTGTCGAATTTTCTCTAACCTTTCTTAGGTTGCAGTTGAATGCTTAAGATATTAAAATAATATAAAAAAATTAATATGAAAAAAATATTTTTTCAGTTTGAAAGAAAACACTCTATTTTGTATTCATCTCTTCCACGCTGTTGTCAACTTGACATCTGTCATGACACATTTTGCCTTGCTTCTGTGCCTTGCCTATGTTTCGCAAAATCTTAATATTTTTTACGCTTTCATTTCAATGTAAAATGTTATTTAAACATGTTTGTATATACATAAATCATATGTCTATTATCAATTTAGTTGAGAGTAACATATTATTTTTTATTTACTTACTTAAAAAGAGATGTATTACGAAGCGCAATAGCACATTAGATATTGCCATAGAGTTTATTTGCAATACATTTTTAATTACACATTTTAAATATAAAATGTGAAATTTTATGGTCTTCTCTAATTTTTAACTAAATAATGTACGAATAGAGCATAATTTTCCAAATCTTTGTATTTTTCTCTAAAGTAGACCCGGCACTTTTCATAGAAAAAATGCTAAACTTGTATACAGTTGAATTGGGTCTCAAAATAAAGCCAAAATTATTTGCTACATAAAACTACTTTTGCCTTATTTTTAGTGAATCGTGGAAAGAAGTTATTTAATTATTAATATTTTTTTGATATAGAAACCCTTTTGATGACAAACCTACGTAATTGACATTGACAGCTAGCTGCTGATGACAAATATTGCCAGACTACGTTACCCAATTTTGAATCACAGATAAAAAATTAAAAAAGTATACAACTTTGGCACAAAATGCCGGGTGTCCTTTAGTATTGATGTGCCTGGCGTACATGAATGGCCCAAAATGTATGAAAAATTAGTGACCTCCTTAAATATAATGCTTGTTTCCAATATTATTTGCGTGGTAGCAGATAACTTTACCAGATCTTGGTTGATAGCACATTTATATACATGAAAAATAATAGTATTTACTTAGCAACTAAACCGAGACAAGCATTGTCTAAGCATATTATATTAGGAATGACTTTTAGAGCTTCTAAATTCATAATTGCACGTACTAATTTTTCACCGGAACTTAAACCCTATTTTATTTTAATAAAATAAACAATTTCCTGCTAATAATCATAAATGAATAAATATTTCCAACACACCAATTAGTCTAGCCCCAAAGTAAGCACTGTGAGGCTTGTGTTATGGGATGCTAGGGTTACGGATAGAGTACATATACTGATACTTATATAAGTATATTTATATAGAAATATGACTGGGGTACAAATGCTCGTATTCATAACACAACAAACATTTGCCCCCACCGAGAATTGAACCCGGGACCTCTCGAGTGGGAGACACAAAGAAATCCGGCGTTCATACCACTCGGCCACGGAGGTCGTAATCACTCATGATGGCCACTATGCTAATGGTAACAATTTCTTTGTTTTTATTTTAAAGTGTTTTTTTCGTGACGTTGCACTTATTAGCTTTAAAGGAAATTATAAATAGACTAGCAAACCAGTGAACCAAATGTTCACCAAAAAAAAAAAAATATTTTATTAATTGAGAACTTCGGAGATTTTGTGTGGTTTCGTTTGACATAGAAATCACGTGATTTCTCGAAAACCGGAAGTGCTACGTTACTCACATCCGGTTTGTAGTCCTATCAGACTATTCTTAACTTATAACTTAAAGATTCACTATATCTATCTCTTACGGTTTGGCCGCTGAAACAGCACCACGGACGGACGGACGGACGGACGGACTTGTCTAATAGATAAGAGATTAAAGAAAATCAAAGTTTGATTAAAATCACAGAAGCTCGGTATTTCGGTAAGGATCCATTCTTTTTACCATACAACTCTGCCCGAATTTGTACCTCGAGTATTATCATGCATTTATTTGTAGAAAAATACGCCGAATTCATCAAAAATATTAATGGATTTTATTACTTACCCACTTCAATAATGGTAACACAGATAATAAATTTAATGACATTTCAAATCACATGATTATAAATACAACCAATCACAATCAAGGAAATGAATTTAAACCAATAGTATTAGCTGTCATCTGTTAGTCAATGACAAATGAGGGCTACCGTTTTCTGCCTCACCAGATGGCGCCACTGTTGAGTGAGGTCCTAAATTGTAACTTTTAACGTTTATTAATACGCACATGAAATCAAAGGTTACATTTAGATCGTATTTTAACACAAAAGAACCATATCCTAAACATAATAGGCCATGCCACAGTGACAAAAAAATGGGAACATAATCATTTTTCTAAGCTCAAATTTTTAATAACTGACATTCATTGCCACATAACTCATATTTGCCATAATTAAGCAGAATTGTTACCAATTATTCACAACATTATTTTAATTAGAAATAAACCCGCGTAGTCAACCAACATTTGACATTTCGGAGACCTCACGCTACACTAGCGCCTCTAGCGGCGGATTCATACGCGATATCATTGCGTCTAAGTAATGACGTTGCTTTTTACGCAGGACCCCCTATTTTGATTAAGATTTTCATAATATTTTATTGAATTTATTTAAATTTTGATGAGCGAGTCTTAAGCGTAATTTTAGATGTTTTAAAAGATAAATTGCATTTTACCTTGGTAACATACAAAATTGAGCAAATCCCAAGGTATGTTTCATCCCACAATATTATTGCATGACTAATAATACATTCAATCCGAAAAAGAACAACGCCATTATCTCAGTTCGTATGATTAGACGTAATGATGGGATTATTTTACGACATTCGTGGCCGAGTGGTTTGTACGCCGGGTTTAATGGTGTCGCCGACTCGAGAGGTCCCAGGTTCGATTCCCGATGATGACGAAGGCAGATGTCTGTGTGATGAATACGAGCATTTGTACTGTAGTCATGGATGTTTAATATGTATTTCTATATAAATATACTCATATACTAGCTGACTCGGCGAACTTCGTACCGCCCAAAAGTAATAATTTGCAATAAATTAAAATTGCGACTATAATTTGAGATTTAAACTATCCTATCTCTCAAGTTGGATCGAACTGCACATGGTGTGCGAATTTTATTATAATCGGTTCAGTGGTTTATGAGTCCATTGAGGACAAACATTGTGACACGAGATTTATATATATTAAGATGTACTGTATATTTATTCTATCCGTTACCCTAGCATCCCATAACACAAGCTTTACAGTGCTTACTTTAGGCTTAGGCTAATAGGGTATTTGACTGTATTAAAAATAAAGTGCCAATTGTTAGCATCTGTGTTTAGAATGGATATTGACAGGGGTTTTTGTAATTTTACAAAAAAAATATTCATAATTTTACTAAAAACTCACAAAAAAGATAATAGTTTTTTATCTGTTGTCACGTGACCCAAAACGCTAGGGATTGGCGGAGCCTAAAATGACGTCACACGCAAGGAAACTTCCGGTTACCACTAGTCACACACTAGTAAGACGCCATATTGTCCAGAGAAACGTTTTCGCGGCAACTTGAAAATGGAGTTTTTGATTTGGTAATTTTTACTGGAATACACAACAGAATGATGAATATCCACCTTTTACGGACCCCATCAACATTAGTCAATAACGTGAGATCGTTTTCTAAAACTTGTCAAATACCCTATTGGTGTGAGTGTTGAAAATATTTATTATCTCTTATCTATTAGACAAGTCCGTCCGTCCGTCCGTGGTGCTGTTTCAGCGGCCAAACCGTAAGAGATAGATATAGAGAATGTTTAAGTTATAAGTTAAGAATAGTCTGATAAGACTACAAACCGGATGTGAGTAACGTAGCACTTCCGGTTTTCGAGAAATCACGTGATTTCTATTTCAAACGAAACCACACAAAATCTGCGAAGTTCTCAATTAATTAAATACATTTTTTTTGGTGAACATTTGGTTCACTGGTTTGCTAGTTTATTTATTTATGACTATTGTACGAATAACCCATTAATGTCTTTCTGTTCGTAAAACAGTTATATATAAGTATATTTTGCCTGAGTAAAATTTAGCTAACTGATTTAATTCATTCTTTGTTCAGGGCACTCGTAAAGTGATAACGTCGGACATCTTAAAGGCGGAAGACCCCGACACACCGCCTGAAGACCTCCTTTTCACCGTGCTGCATACCAACAGGAATGAAGCTATCGGGTAATGTATTCATAGAAAGGACAATGGGCAAAACACACCCAGCTCCGCCAACAATGTAACTAGTATGAATCGATAGATCTATGAAAAACTAGCCTTTTTTATTATGACACCGTAAAAAAATATCCTGGGAGTCAAAAGATATGACACCTTAAAAAATATCCTGGTAGTCAAAAGATATGACACATGGGCATATTTAAGTAGCTAAATAAATTCACTTTATAGTACCTTTCTTTCACATTATTAGTAGCCATAATAATATGCCATATCGTACTATACAACCAGATATACGACATCGCCTGCCGACCATCCTGCGCTTGTACTTACTTAGCCACCTCAAAACGGTTTACGGTGGTTGAAGGACTTGCAGTTGCAAATAGTCGACTCGTCTTACTTCGTTGTGATTGTGCGCTCCCTGTCACTTGATTGATTTTTATCTTACACGCTTTGGACATCGGAACACGATTATTGGTATGGATGAACTGGAATCATGTTTTCTCCGAAGCGTGGACAAGTTTAGGTGATTTCCGTTTTACAAAGAAGACTATTTACTATAACGAACAGAATGTTTGAAAAAACCCCAACCAATGCGGGGATTTTTGGATTTACTCTAGTGCGGCAGAATAACATAAGGGGTCACCCTTGTACCTTGTGTAGCACTCCCATAATACGTGAGCCCCCTATGTAGTGTAAATAATTCCCTTTTTTTCATTAATGTTCGTTCGTTTAAGTGCTTGTACCTATTTAACTTTAAATAACTAAAAACTCCCGGGATGGAATTTGATGCTCTTTGGCACAAATGATCATGACTATAATACCTTTCAAACAAATGTAGTTTAAGCCGTGGCTGACGTGGGTGCAGTGTCCGTACATATTTGCCCAATGTCCTTTACAATATTTTTCGGTCTGCAACTTCGTGTCTTATATACATCTTATATTATACTTTTTCTGTGTGCCAAGTGTTGCGGCCCTTTCAGAAGAAGACGAACTTAGCATCGCAGCATGACTATGTATTTTATCATCTTCAGTCTTTTAATGTCCCGCACTGCTGGGGCACAGGCCTTCCCTATGGATGGAATAGGGAGATTGGGCCTGGATCCACCACGTGGGCCCAGTGCGGATTGGTGGGTGCTAACGACTGCAGATGCAGTCGGGACCAACGGCTTAACGTGCCTTCCGAAGCACGGAGGAGCTCGAGATAGTAAATTTTTGGTCACCCATCCAATGACCGACCACTGTGAAAGTTGCTTAACTTCAACGACGGCAGCCGAACGCGCTAACCACTTGCGCCATCGAGCTCCTCCCTACGTATTCACTATTAATTATTGTCACTTAATTTATTCATTCCTTTAACTGCTGTCTCATTCTCGATAGTAAACAAACAGGTAGGTAAGTCTGACCATAGACAGTATAGTGTTGGGGATTCATAGAGCATTATCAAAATCAATTGCACAATTGAATTATCATATTTTAATACGCCGATGCAATATAAATTTTTGACATTTGTAAAATTATTATATAGGTACATCCGCGTATTAATTTTAATACGCGGATAAGTAATAAGCGGTAATATAAATTTTTGACATTTGTAAAATTATTATAGGTAGTATTTTTTTTTCTTTTCAACATCCTTAATTTGATACTTGTTTTTTTTAATGTTTTGTTATAATGGGTATTGTAAATAATGTAATAATATATAAATAATTTCATAAATTCATATACCAGAATGGTGAAACATAGACAGGACTAATACTTTTATTGTAACAACACTATTGTACCTATGCTTATGAATAAATTAATTCTATTCTATTCATATTCTTAGAAATTGTTAAAAATGTATAAGGCTTAATTTGTAACATTAATATTTTGTTATTGTCAATACTCAAGAACAAGCTCTGTTAACTGTATTTGGCAATGTAGTTAACTATATTTCGCCAGTTAATAAAACTCTTTTTTAACGGTTGGATTGCGTGATTTATTAAATATCTAGATTCGTCGGCTAGCGAGCTCGCTGCATTATACTGTTGAACGTCCTGCATTCAGTGTAATTACTTCGTTCAACAGTATTCAACTTAACGGTTTATTATACAAATGTGAATCATTGTATTTATTATAATAAATAAATAATAATAATAAATATTTCCGACACTCACACCAATTAGCCTAGCCCCAAAGTAAGCACTATAAGGCTTGTGTTATGGGATGCTAGGGTAACGGATAGAATACATATACTGTACATATATAAGTATATTTATATAAATACATATTAAACATCCATGACTGGAGTACAAATGCTCCTATTCAGCACACAAACATCTGCCCCCACCGGGATTCGAACCCGGGACCTCTCGAGTCGGCGACAGCCATGAAACCCGGCGTACAAACCACTCGGCCACGGAGGTCGTCAAATATGTTGGATTACTGATAAAAATGAGATGATTTTTTAACCCATAACCATTTATTTAGTCGATTCACTATTCGATTATTAACGTCAATTGAAATAATTTTGAATAGACTTTTGGGTGCAACACAGTTCAACCATAGACAACAGACAATTCCCGTCTGCCAAAATAACCTTACTTTACTACTCGAGTTTTTATTTATGATTTTGCATAAATTAATAAAGAAATAAGTGCTATAAAAGATAGTGTATTAATATGTCAACCCCTAGGAGTGCAAATAAATGTGTTGAAAAATCCATTTAATGATTCATTGCGTGGGAATTTAGAGATAAAGTGTTTGTTAAATTTTGTCTAAATTCGTTTGGAACAGACTATATAGTAAACCTTTAATATAAACTACTGCGTTTTAGTTATGATTTTATTCATGTTTTAAGCATTTAACTGCTAGATATTTAAATCTAAAGAAAAGTTTACTAGAAAAAAAAAGTTTACTGAAAAAGTATTCATTTGACATTGTGGGTTACCTACAATGCGAAGAGATGGCGCTGCCTTGCAGCTTAAGGCTAGGAAAATTTCAACGCGGCTAATAGGGCCGTGGTAGCATAATGGTCAGTGCATTCGCCCGGATAGCGAAGGATGCGGGTTCGAGTCCCGTCCGCTGCCTGGTCCGCGTGGATTTTTTTTCTAGTAAACTTTTCTTTAGATTTAAATACTGCGTTTTATTCAAGTATTAAATATTATTTAGTCACGTTATGTAAGGATAATACACGAAATTATTCGGTTTGTCAAAGTAGTAGTACGTATATAATATGAGCATAAAAAACTAACTATAGTCTGTCCATTCTATTATTATCTTTTTGACAGAACGACGCCCATGAAATTTTGTATTGTTTACGTTAAAATGTCATACAAATAATATTGAACTTCATGGACGGGTACCGCCCACTTTGTGATGTGCCACACATAATGATTACTACGATTGTGCCACAGATTACAAATAATCGGAACAATTAATGATGAGTTCATTCTATTGTATATTGTCAAAGGCAATATACTAGGTAAAATAATAAATCTAATGAGATTTTGTAATAATTTATTAAACACCAGTATTTTTGATAACTAAAATAATTTCGATACTTATAATCGATTACACAATGTTCTAGTATAAAATAAATTGTAGCTTTAAATCGAATGAGTTATGTGATAGGATGTCACTATTTTTACTTCGATCGATCTGTCAAAAAGATATAATAGAATGGACAGACCATAACTAATGGAGATTTCTGTGCTTTGAGAAAGTAACATTCCAAAAGACCACACAATAAAATTGAATAAATATTACGATCTTACCAATGAACTAACTAAAAATGTCTATCTAGTTAATTTATATGCGATAGAAGTAGGAGCGACAGGTATACTAGCAAAATCTCTCTATAACCTTCTAAAAGACTCTTGACACACAAAACGTACCGTAGCAATTTGGGTCACCATTCACTCATCCCTAGGTTAAGTAGATTAATTGGTGAGCTTGTGAAGAAGGATCATACTATTGATATTTTTTTGAAAAATAAAATATTTAGAATACTGGGAAAGTAGATACTTAATCTGTTTAATATTAATGTTAATAAAATTAGTTTGCCAATAATGGGTCTAGTACGTAAGGGGTTCTCTGAACTTACGACCTTATTAGGCAGTGTTCTCCCCTTTTAAATAATTATAGAGCATGATAGACTGTTGTGATTGTTCTGTGATTGGCCAGATATTTGTGTTGTGTAGTAAATTCCGTATGTAGAAAATGTAAAAAAAAAAAACTGTTTACTGTTTAGCGCATGATGAGGCCATCTTTAATTACAGTTATATTATATCCTAATACTTAAGCATATGTGTAAGTTTGTTTGTATTAATATAGCTGTGTTGATGGTCCATAAATAAATAAATAAAAAAAAGACCTCGGCCTGTCGAGAACTGCAGTATGACAATTTTGGAACGAGTAACTAAGGCTGCACTAACAGGCTCCTATCAAATTTGGCAAGGAAGGGCGGGCAACTCGAGCAGAGAAGGTGAGCATTGATGTGCATCTTAAAGGGGACCTCCTTAAACCTACACCTGGGTCGCAAGTCCCGGGAACTGCTCAGGATAGGGTATTTGACAAGTTTTAGGCAACATCTCACGTTATTGACTAATGTTTATGGAGTCCGTAAAAAGATATTCATATTTCTGTTGTGTATTTTAGTAAAAATAACCAAATCAAAAACTCAATTTTCAAGTTGCCGCGCGAAATCGTTTCTCTGGACAATATGGCGTCTTACTAGTGTGTGACGTCACACGACTGTTATTGAAACGTCAAACGATACAATGTAATGTCACTTTAACCGAAAGTTTACTTGCGTGTGACGTTATTTAAGGCTTCGCCAATTCCAAGCGTTTTGGGTCACGTGACAATAGATATGAAAACTACACTTCTGGACACATCTATTGGCCCACCTTAGAGTTTAGGTTTCGATGGCCCCTACCGAAACATGATTGTTAGATTGAACAAAAACTGTTGATGCAGTTTTAAACCTGATACATTTTACCATCTTTTTCGATCGTATTGTTTTAAATTTGAATTCAGAATACCATACGACATGGAGCTACGCCTAACAAGTCGGATATGCGCCTTGTTAAAGGCAATTGATTTTTGAATAAAAAACATGTTTTATCAAATAAAGGTTTAATTTAATAACGCGTGTTGCCTCCATGGGCATCTACCACAGCTCTCATACGATTAGGTATAGAGTTTATCAACCGCTCTATGAAATTTTGAGGGATCATCTCCCATTCCTTTTCTATGGCAGTTTTCAACTCCTGCATCGTCTGGGCAACTGGCTGACGAGCCTTAACACGTCTTTTTAGCTCGTCCCACATGTGCTCAATGGGGTTCATGTCTGGGCTTCTGGCTGGCCAGTCCATAACTGTGATGTTCACATCCCGAAGATATTCCCTGACGATGCCGGCCGCATGGGCTCTTGCATTATCATGCATGAAAAGGAAATTTGGGCCCACATAGTCCGCGTATGGTATAACGTGAGGTTCTAAGCACTCACGAATGTACCTTTCAGCATTTAATGTTGGCAGCAATGGTCCTGTAACAACCTCAAGTTGAGTTTTGCCGCTCGCGGATATACCGCCCCAGACAGTCCATGAGCCACCGCCATAAGCAACCCTCTCTTCAAAGCAGCATTGTGCGAAACGCTCTTCCTTACGTCGGTAGACCTTCTTCCTTCCATCATTGCCATGTAACACAATTTTAGACTCATCAGAAAAGAGTACACGGCTCCAATCTTGCTGTGTCCAATTTAAATGACTGCGTGCGAAATGAAGGCTCGCTGTTCGGTGGGCTCGCGTTAGTTTGGGCCCATTAGCTGGCTTGTGTGGTACCATATCGCGTTCTTTTAACCTTCTCCGAACAGTTCGAGCGCTCACAGATACTCCGTGGAAGTCGCGAATTTGTTTTTGTATCTCAATGGAGGTAAGGTGCGATTTCTCAAGCTGGTCGTAACGATGAATCGATCCTGCCGTTCAGTTGTGACCCGAAATCGTGGCCTTCCTTGGCGACGAACAAAGCCGCCAGCCTCTAGGTACCTCCGATAAACATTTCGGACCGCAGATCGACTTAAATTAAGTTGAGCACTCACGTTTCTTTGGCTGTGTCCGGCCTGAATAAGTGCCACACAGCTTGGGCGGCGACTTCAAGTGAAGTATCTATAGATTATTGATAGAACCTCACCTTAATGTTAAGAATAAGTAATGTTTGTTGCAAAACCAAAGATATCAATCACTTTTTCAAGAATTAAATCCAAGTAAACCAATAAAACCAAGTTTTCTTAGTATTCGATTGTTTGATATCAACAAACAGGCCCCAAATTGTCTTTTGTTTCTTTAAAAACTGTGTTCGAAATTCAAAAAAAGACTATTGAATGAAATTGTGAATGTGCCAGGTTCAAAACTGCATAAAAACTTTTTGCTCGACCTAATATAAAATTTTAGCTAGGACCAAACGAAACTGAAAATACAAGGTGGGCCAATAGTATATATTTTTTTGTAAAAATAGTAAAAACCCCTGTCAGTATTCATTCTAAACACAGATGCCAACAATTTGCACTTTATTTTTAACACTGTTAAATACCCTATTTCTCTTTTTACCACACGATGGACGAATGCTAAGAAGTTCGTCTCGTCTCTTATTTTTTTTCTTTTCTAATTAATCCCCGTTTTGTTACAGGTCTTTATATTCTGTTTTGTTTTCTTTTTTTGTGCTTCTTTTTTTTGTTTTTTTTTTTTATCTCTTATCTTTATAATTCTATTACATATTTTTTCTTATTATGAATATTTACATTTTCGTTTCTCTGAGTTTTTAATTTCTTATATCTATTTTACAATCATTTTTCTTGTTTATTTATTTCCTATGAATTTTTACATATTTGCTTGTTGTTATATTTTTTATTTTTACATTTTCATTATAAATACTTCTTTTACAATTGAGGTGCTGTATTAGCTTTATTTACTAGTCCTTATTTCTTTCTATTACATTTTTTACTGAATTTTTTGAATTTTGAAATTTCTTTATTTGTATAATAAAAACATAATGTATACACAGTTACATTATAACATGATAGTAATCGATATTAATAGACTATGCAAGGCGCCTTTTTATATCATTCAAACATCGAAAATACACTGTGAAAATCATACATAAATTTACTAATTTAATAGGGAACATCTGTGTACATTATTATTTCACTTTGCGGCGCGAAATAAATACAATATTATGCAAAATAATGTTACATAACAACAATAATAGCCGAGTGTCAATGAGGGTATTTATATTTCCCTCTAATAAACTTGAAAGTAGAACTAACAAGCCATTGCTGCAGCTATGAATACAAACGGAACAAACTCAAGATACCCACGATAGGATTGAAGCTACCGTCGAATAGTCAGTACGGTAGGGTAATTACGTTATTCGAAGTAGTTGAGGAAATAGTGATGAGGCAAACGATATCGAGAATAAGTTTTAGCATAATGCAAAGTGCACAATCGCGATTTACCAATGTTTGAAATTAACTTGTTTATATGATTTGGGTTATTATAAATATAGAACTTTTTTGATGCTTTTAGAATATAACTTTTAATTTGAGGGAAACCAATGTTTTCGTGAAGTTTGGTTAAGTTTGTACGAAAACTGGTATTATAAGCAATTTTAATTGCTTTGTTTTGAATTACTTGGAGCTTCGAATAGTTTGCATTACAGGTACTTGACCAGACAGGGGCAGCATAAGTGATACAGGGTCGGACTAATGTGGAGTATATGCGTAGTTTAGTATCGGGGCTAAGATTTGATTTCCTATTTAGGATGGGGCTTAGTGCGTTCATAGCCCTTATACCTTTAATATGTAACTGAGATATATTTTTTGTCCAGTTAAGTTTATAATCGAGCACAGTACCGAGGTAACGTACAGACCTGCTCCAGGGAATAATATGGCCATCAGACTTAAGACTTTTCGTAGGAAGTGAACGTTTCCTAGAAAACATTATAGCCTCGGTTTTGTTAGAATTCAGTTTGAGTTTCCATGTAGATAAAAAATTTGTCAGCGTCTCTAATGACCATTGGAGACGTGTAATTATGGTATCATCGTCGTCCGAAGTGGTAAAACTAGCTGTATCGTCCGCATAGCAGGCCAGATAAGTGTGTGGTTGTTTTTTAATATCATTCAGGAATATTAGAAAAAGGATTGGGCCTAAAATAGATCCCTGGGGAACTCCGGCCAGTATCGCGTGGAGTTTAGAATGATGACCTTCGAGGTTTACGAAGAATGATCGACCTACAAGATATGACTTAATTAATTTTACTAGCTGCATGGGGATGCCAATTTCAAGGAGTTTATGAAGTAACCCATCATGCCAAACCGTGTCAAATGCCTTTTCAATATCAAGCAGTATCATACCTGTCGACTTTCCTAGATTGAGGTGGTGTGCTACATGTTCTGCAACCCTCGCCAACTGTTGTACTGTCGAATGACTTTGACGAAAACCAAATTGTTCAGGGATAAGTTGATTATTGAGATAGCCCGACAATCGTTTGGCAATGATAGATTCAAATAACTTACCCAGTGCTGGGAGAAGACTGATTGGTCTGTAGTTTTTAGGGTTTTTATCGTCCTTACCAGGCTTCTTAATAGCTATTATTTTAGCAACTTTCCAGAGTTCAGAAAATTTTAAGACAATCATTAAAAATCTTACAAAGAAAAACTATAGCTTTTCGAGGGATGTGTTTTAATAAAATATTGTGTATGTTATCATGACCGGGAGATTTGCGATTCTTGAGATTTTTAAGGGCTGTTGAAATTTCTCTTGGTTTAACAAGATGATCGATTGAAGATTCAATAAACTTGTCAATAGAATCGAGAGATTTGTTAACTAAAGATACAGTTTCAGGTGGACTTATCCAGTTGTAAGTCAGTTCACATTTTCAAAGATTTCCCTTAATGTGTCCTTACTGATTTGTGTATCAATGCGTGTTTGTGGTGTGTGTCTTTGTGTTCCGTACTGGGGGCACTCTATGAGAACATGGAAGATGTAGGTCTCGTTTCTTATTGAATGTAATTGTTTGCAGCGGCCACATCGAGTTGTCCGGCCAGCCGGTGCAGTCTTTTACGCAGCGCGACGTTGACGCGGGCCTGGTGTGGTTCGTGCATACCGCGAGCCCCGGCCCAGGCCCTGGCCCCGCCCACACGCTGGATGACACCTCGCTGCGGGTCACGCTGCAGGTGACGGCTGCTATGTGTCACTTTCAATATAATAGGGATGATGACTAATTTTTTTTTCTTCGTTTATCAGGTAGATTATCAAAAAGTATTGGACACGTATTTTTTCTTTTTTCACATAATATAAACATTGCAGAGATATATTGATTTGAAAAGTCGCATGACGTCACGTTTGAGTACACTTATAAGTGAAAATTCACTCAAAAGTGACGTCACGAGCCCCTACTCCCAAACTTTGACGCGCTATAAGTTTGTCATTTTTTGGTTGATTGCCCAAAGAAAAAATACGTGTCCATTATTTTTTGATCATCTAACTGACGGACTAAATAGAATTTCGTTTACTGTACCCCGTCATCACCCCTATTTTGAGCTCCTTGGTCGAGCGGTTTGCATGCCAGGTTTCAAGGCGTCAAAGACTCGCTCATCAAAATTTCAATGAATTCAATAAAATATTGACATTGAAATAAAGATTCTGTGTGTAAAGAAACGTCATTACTTTTAGACGCAACTTGTCATTGACTGACAGATGACAGCTAATACTATTGGTTTAAATTCATTTGCTTGATTGTGATTGGTTGAAATGTCATTAACATAATATATTATCTGTGTTGCCATAATATTAAAATGTTTGAACGACTATTTTATGTGGTATTGTTTTTGACCTCTGGATAAAAACTAAAGCATTAAAGTAACGCAATGACATTTGAGCGTTCCCTCCCATAGACAATAGTAGCGAAAAGATTTCCTAACAGAGCATTACCCAACCAAAAAGTATTAGTGACACGTTGGCAGATTACATTTGACTTTAGATCGTTTTTTGATTCAGTATCGTAAATGTTTCCAAGCCATAAAAAACGTATAAAGGTATCGAATTTTGACCTTTGCTTAGTGGTACGCACGCTGTTCACAGGAACATATATTAGTCCCTTTCTTGGTATACATGTAAAAGAACGATAACTATTTGAGTTGAATTTAAACTCTATGCTCCAGGTCTTGCTTTTAGTTAGAATAAAAAAAATATGGGTGCGTGTACTTAAGTACGCGCGTGAGAAGTTATACTTCTTTTTGGAATTATTAAAAAATAGTTTTTTAATTGCATGCAGATAATTAATTACAATAAGATAATAAAAGGATTGGAAAAGGATAGTCAACGCAGTCAATAAAGTTCAGTTTTAATTTGAAAAATTTAATAAATAATCAAAATATTCAATTTAAATCACTACTGAATTTAAGTTATTAGTCCATATGTAATTAGCACTTGTAAGTAACTAAAACACGTTGTGTCTATATAGAAACTAGAAACATGTGGATAAATATTATAAAATAAATAATAAAATTATAAGAATAAAATTTATTAGCACATATAAATTTCGCATTTGTATAACATTATAACACGTGTTAAGAATATAGAAACTAGAAACATGTGGATAAATATTATAAATATGAAAACAGTGATCAGAGGCGACGAGCGTCCCAACATGTGCGACTAAGAGATCCTATTACTATTTTGTTGGAAGCTTTTTTTCGAGACTTACGAGTAATGTGCGGTTTAGCGGCCGACTTCATTGTGTTACTTTTGTGTTACAGTGATGCGCGCGCATCTTAAAATTTCACTCTCATCATTTTTTCATAACGCGGCTAAAGAAGTATACCTTCAAAAAAAATGTCGATTTAATACTCATATAAAATGACGGAGCAAATCGTCTAATATGCCGTAATTTCTCAATGTATATATATAAAACTCAAACGTGACTGACTAACTGACATAGTGATCTATCAACGCACAGCCCAAACCACTGGACGGATCGGGTTGAAATTTGGCATGCAGGTTGATGTTATGACGTAGGCATCCGCTAAGAAAAAATTTTCATCAATTCTACCCCCAAGGGGACAAAATAGGGAATGAAAGTTTGTATGAAACTTTGTCAATTTTAAACCGATCTGGCTGAGACTTTGCATGCAGGTATAAGAAGAATCATAGATGAATGTCATTGTGTATAATACAAGACTGAGTACAAAAACCATAGTCTACACTTCAGCTCTACACCGAAGCGAGGGCGGGCCGCTAGTACATTCATATTTTTATCGTAAATGGTTTTCTGGAACATTATTGTTATGAATAATAACAAAAAAGTGACCTTATATCTCGGTCGGGTGACACATCGGACAGCATAGAGACGAGTAACCTGGCGTCGGATAGTTTGACAGCATAGTTTTAAACTCGGTTTTGATTGTCCTTTTATCACGGCGGGTTCAGGTGTCTCTGTAGGTGAAGACGCTCCAGCATTCTGCAAACGGTTTGTCGGGCCACGGATTGTAAAATTGTCTCGTAAATATTGTGTCAGTACAGTGTCTTTCTCGGCCCGGTTAATAATGTACAGTGTAGTGTAATTTTATGATGCTGTGCCACGTTGTTAAATGGTCCGATGACGTGGCTTTTATTACGTGTCGTCTTATCTCCATTTTGTTCTTTATTTATTTCATGAACAACATTTCTAAGGTTATGGTTTTGTCTTTTTTATTTTTTTCTTTCTTATTTTGGTGTATCCCATTTTCGTAGGCAAAAAGCCGAGCCCAGACAGCCTCTTGTTTTTTTTTTTGTTTTGTGCTGGACTGCTATGGGCGAGGGAAGTGAGGTCCGGATTGTTTTTTGATTTTGTTTTGTGTATTAAGTGATTGTCTTGTATTTCCGTCCGTCGATGTCCAAATTAGGTCCCTCCATAATATCAGCGTTGCAGCGGCAATTAATTTTTGCCGTTGCAACATTATGCTGAGATGGGACCTAGTTGACCATGTACCTTTTAATATAAACATAAATATTTCCAACACACACCAATTAGCCTAGCCTCAAGCTAAGCACTATAAGGCTTGTGTTATGGGATACTAGGGTAACGGATAGAATACATATACTGTACATATATAAGTATATTTATTGATAGATAGAAATACATATTAAACATCCATGACTGGAGTACAAATGCTCGTATTCATCACACAAACATCCGCCCTCACCGGGATTCGAACCCGGGACCTCTCGAGTCGGCGACACCATGAAACCCGGCGTACAAACCACTCGGCCAAGGAGCTCGTTTTGTTTTATGTTTGTTGTGTATTTATTGTAATAGGCTTGTGTCAACTAACAATAAATCGAATGGGTTACAGTTTCTAAATATGAATTATGATATACAGATAACAAAAAATAAAGCTATTTATCATAATAATTAAAGATTATTATTATTTTTAGAAAATAAATTCGAATAAAATAGGCATTAGATCACGTGACGGCAAACACCAATCAGAAAGACTGACGTCACCACCTGCAAAACATTACTTGGGGTTGCCGTTTCCATACATTTCATTGATATCTCATTCATGTTATTGTTACTTTGATACAATTATCAGTTTGTTTTCAGATAAGTATTGAAAGGAAGCCTAATAAATCCATGGAATTGGGATTTACCGAAGCAAATAATAATATTTTTACCAAAATAAAAAATTAATCGCATAACTACTCGACATAATTAAGCATATCATTTAGCAACTAGAACAAGAATAAGAAGTGTTTATTATTATGAATAAATATACTGAACTCTCAAATAGAGTCTAAATCATACCATAAAATTAAATCAGCTTACCTAACCTCAACCTATTGTCATTGTTTTATGAATATAATGCACTCAGACCAACAAAAAAAGAGCAATATAATTTATCCGGCTTGTATAACATTTTGATTTCATTGATTATGTTATGCAAAATACTTACATCAAAATGTTCATCACAAAATTATTCTTGTATTTGTTGATAAACAATGAATAGGTACCATCCCTCCTTGCAAGTTCTAACCATTTTTTCCGCATTTGTGGCATATAAATAATTTGTCTGGCGTTTTATGCTTCTCCTTTTATACTAGGACACTATACAGTACTTGTAATACGATGGATTCATTTTTAACTAAATAATTTTAATAGTCGGCGTACAGCGTATTGTTTGCTTTGCACGGCGTGACGTCATTCTAGACGCCATGACAGTCTTGAGCGTTTTCGAGGGAAATTTGAATAAGTTTTTTAAAATACAAAATACATATTGCTAATGTACTTTTTTATTTAATATAATATTTTTTTGGGGTTAAATAAACATCAAGGTATATTATTAACCACTTTTTAAAATATAGGCAACTAGCCTATTGTTAATGTATGTCGTCAATAAATGTTTTTCTTTGTTTCTTTGTAGGTGTCGGACGGGATAGAGACGAGCGGGCCCGGCGTGCTGCGCGTGACAGTTGTCCCGCTCCAAGTGCGGTTGGTCAACAACACGGGCGTCCAACTGGTGCACAACTCGTATGCACTCATCACGGCGCACAACCTCACCTTCGCGACCAACGCCGACGACACTGACATGCATGTCAGGTGAGTATTAACTAGCAAATCAGTGAACCAAATGTTCACCAAAACTTGATTTAAAAAAAAAAAGTATTTAATTAATTGAGAACTTCGGAGATTTTGTGTGGTTTCGTTTGAAATTCGTGATTTCTCGAAAACCGGAAGTGCTACGTTACTCAAATCCGGTTTGTAGTCTTATCAGACTATTCTTAACTTACAACTTAAATATTCTCTTTATCTATCTCTTACGGTTTGGCCGCTGAAACAGCACCACAGACGGACGGACGGACTTGTCTAATAGATAAGAGATTATGTATTTAATTATTTATTTCAATTACATATGCCGGCTTACAGAAAAATCCAAAACGTAGATTCATTCCGATTCAATAAAATTAAGAATAACAGGTTTTATCCAAAGAAAAGTTTACTAGAAAAAAATCTACTCGGACCATACAGCATACGGGACTCGAGCCCGCACCCTTCGCAATCGAGGTTCGAGTCCCTTCCGCTGCCTGGACCGCGTGGATTTTTTCTAGTAAACTTTTCTTTGCATTTAAACATCTAGCTAGCAGTTAAATGTTTAAAATTAAATAAAAAACATAAATAACAGTTTTTTTAAATAAAGTAATATCAAATTATGTAAGTACATAGAAACAAGTGAGACATTAAACACCCACCCCCTTATTAATAAACGAAGAATAAGCTTGGCTTAGTTACTCCCATGTTGTGTCTCTGTTCATTGAAAGACAAATGGCTTTCGAGTGATATGAACAAAACTCGGTGCAACTAATCTAAGCTTATTCCTTGTTTATTAATAAATTGGTCTATGTACACTCGCGGAAAGACCCGCTCTGTCACCCATTAACGCTTGCGGTAGCGGCGTAGTAAAAATTCATTCATAGACATGTAATTATCGCTGTCTTACTGTTTCGTATAGCGCTGTCGCGATCATGATGCGGATGACAAATTGCAACTAAAACAAATGCAATTCAATTCATTATTCAATCAATGAAATGCTTTCTCTGTCTTACTTTTGTGCGGCGGCTCGGATTAGCGAGTTCAAGGAAGGCGGGGCGTAGTAAAAACTACTGTAGAAAACCGTTCAAAGCATTTTGTTCGCCAAGTGACAGAGCGCAAAATTCCGCGATAGTACAATGAGGGCTACCGTTTTCTGCCTCACCAGATGGCGCCACTGTTGAGTGAGGTCCTAAATTGTAACTTTTAAAGTTTATTAATACGCACATGAAAACAAAGGTTACATTTAGATCATATTTTAACACAAAAGAACCATATCCTAAACATAATAGGCCATGCCACAGTGACGCGCAGTTCCGTTTTATTCGGAAAATATGGGAACATAATCATTTTTCTAAGCTCAAATTTTTAATAACTGACATTCATTGCCACATAACTCATATTTGCCATAATTAAGCCGAATTGTTACCAATTATTCACAACATTATTTTAATTAGAAATAAACCCGCGTAGTCAACCAACAAGCAATACCCACAATGTCAAATGAATACTTTTTCAAGTATTAAACATTTGAAAGAAGAAATAGCAATTATAGTTATGATTTTATTGATTTTTTAAGCATTTAACTGCTAGATGTTTAAATCTAAAGAAAAGTTTACTAGAAAAACTTCGACGCGGCTAATAGGGCCGTGGTAGCATAATGGTCAGTGCATTCGCCCGGATAGCGAAGGATGCGGGTTCGAGTCCCGTCCGCTGCCTGGTCCGCGTGGATATTTTTCTAGTAAACTTTTCTTTTAATTAATACTTGTCAAGATACTAGTAGTCTATGCAGTGTAATAGAAAACAACATTTCAACGACCACAACAAGTATTGTACAAGTTTTGTATAAAATTAGTATATGACTTGTTTCTTGGTATAAACGAGGCGTATGGGTACAAGTTGAGGAGCTCGATGGTGCTAGTGGTTAGCGCATTCGGCTGCGATCGTTGAAGTTAAGCAACTTTCGCAGTGGGCGGGCATTGGATGGGTGACCGATAATTTACTATCTCGAGCTCCTCCGTGCTTCGGAAGGCACGTTAAGCCGTTGGTCCCGACTGCATTTGCAGTCGTTAGCACCCGCCAACCCGCATTGGGCCCGCGTGGTGGGTCATGGCCGAATCTCCCTATTCTATTCATAGGGCAGGCCTGTGCCCCAGCAGAGGGGACATTAATAGGCTGATGATGATGAAGATGAGGACTCAATACATATTATAATGATGGAACGATATTGAGGTCATGCTTGCGATTGCGACCACAAAGCTTATTAAAGATTCATAAAATCGGGAATTTTACATTTTTTGTTTATTTATAGATGGTATTCATTACAGAGTACAATGTTGAGTCTTAAGAAGAGTTTATTAAACTCGCGATCATCGCTAATATGCGCAATCTTCGCGTGTACAAATATCTAAACAAAATATAATGTAGAACTTTTTATTAGCTGCAGTAAAATGACGTTTTGTGGGTTACCGCTTTTTTAAGAAAAATAAATAGGGATGTAGCTAAGTGAGTAAGTAATATAAGTCATTCAATAAATGAATGATCAGTTTGGTTTTGTTTTATAGACTTAATATTAAGTTGTAATGTTTTTTGGAGTTTACTCCTTAAGAATCGATTTGCATATATAAGGGGCCCGGTATGAGAAAAATGTGAGGAGTAAAATCTATCGATGAATGACATTAATGACCTCGTTACGTTTTTTATTCTATTTTTGACGTGACAACGTCTTAAATTAGGTTGCGGCTGGGAGTCACTTATGAAAAAGTGTAACGCTCGGTAACGTTACGATGAGTCTCTCGTGTTAAGTTTAAGTTTACATGTACAATGTTTTAGTAAACAAAATATATTTCTATAGTTAAAATTTGTGCAATTCTTATTTTCATTCAATTCCTTGTTCCTATTGTGCAATTTAATTATATTCATATCAATAAATATTCTACCGAGAAAAAGACGTTGTCACGTAAAATCTTCGCCCGTAAAACCGACTTTACAGGCAACCATTTTTCATTCATATCTTCGATGTAACAAACAAAAAAAAGCTGACACGATTAGCAAAAATAAGAAGGTAACGAAAAACAAACACAACGTAACAAAAAATTTACAATAATGATAACTAAAACAACTCACATTGGGCAAAGCAAATTTAGTCATGCACTCAAAACAGAAGTTAGAAGCCGAATGAGCGAATGAAAAATAAAATAAAATGACGGACAAGCGTCATCGTAGCACCGTAACTAAAAGCCGGTACTGGTACCTTGAGATTTTATACAGCTTTTTATTTATATGAATAATAAATCGAATTCAGTATAATCATTATGAGTTAGTTATGGAACGATTAGATTTTCTGTGAACCTTATCACATCCCTATTGAAATTAGTCAACATTATTTTACGGAATGACATTTTGAAACGTCATTTTACTGCAGTTAATAAAAAGTCGAAGTATAGAATATCTTTATTATATAATTCTTCTGTGAGTGTGTATGTCACTGAACTTCTCTTAAACGACTGGACCGATTTTGATGAAATTTTTTGTGTGTGTTCAAGGGGATCTGAGAATGGTTTAGATTCACAATTTTGTCCGCTGGACAATGTTTTTTTAATTTTTTTTTTTTATGGCGGTACGAAGTTCGCTGGGTCAGCTAGTAAGCTATAAATTAACAAGATTACTTGTCGCGAACTAGAAATTTTATGGCAAGTGTGATTCAATGCGAATATTTGTGTTCACTATGACCATTTACGGTTTATTGTAATAGGGTGTTTGACAAGTTTTAGAAAACGATCACACGTTATTGACTAACGTTTATGGAGTCCGTAAAAAGTGGATATTCATCATTCTGTTGTGTATTTCAGTAAAAATAACCAAATCAAAAACTCAATTTTCAAGTTGCCTCGATAACGTTTCTCCGGACAATATGGCGTCTTACTAGTGTGTGACGTCACACGACTGTTATTAAAACGTCAAAAGATAAAATTCTATTCATAAGGAAGGCCTGTGCCCCAGCAGTGGGGGCATTAATAGGCTGGTAGTCTTATGAGGAGCTCGATGGCGCAGGTGGTTAGCGCTTTCGGCTGCGATCGTTGTAGTTAAGCAACTTTCGCAGTGGTCGGTCATTGGATGGGTGACCACAAATTTCTATCTCGAGTTCCTCCGTGCTTCGGAAGGCACGTTAAGCCGTTGGTCCCGGTTGCATCTGCAGTCATGGCCCAATCTCCCTATTCCATCCATAGGGAAGGCCTGTGCCCCAGCATTGGGGACATTAACACCCATATTCTTAGTCGTTTCCTCGAGATTTTTTCCACTCGACTCAACCTCATTGGAGGAAATTCGTATGCTTAGACAACAAAAATATCCTTCACTTGAGATATTCCTCACTCGAGTGGAGGTCGAGTCGAGGAATAAATAAACTGTCAAACTCAAGGTAGCTCTCGACGTACCTTAAGGCTTCCTCGGGTGGTGTTTAAGGTGTTTTCAAGTTTTATGTCTGATTTTGAAATTATTGACGAATTTGTGGATTTTATGTATTACGTATACGATTTATTTATTTATTTATTCAGTAACACATACACGATGATTAACCATATAATTTTCCGGCGCGACGGTATTTACGTGATGCCGCAAATCCTTTTAAGGTTTACGACAATGATTCGTTTCAAAGAAGATTTCGGTTTAGAAAAGATACAGTCATACAAGTAATATTTCCTCTGTTAACCATTATAGAAATAAAATCCTCCAAATGATGACGTCACAATGTTGAGGAATTCTCAGTGGAGGAATTCTCAAGTTTGTTCAAGATACCAACTAGAATACTATTTTCGAGGTTATTTGGAGGGACTCCTTAAGGAGCCCTCGAATGAGTTTGAGTCGAGGAACGTTTGAGGACGCGATTAAGAATATGGGTGTAAGAGGCTGATGATGAATGATGATGAGTCTTATGATGATGATGGGTACAGGTACGACATAGTGAAGCCGCCTCAATTCGGCGTGGTGGAGCGACTGCGCGCCGCGGACGGGTCGTGGCAGACCGCAGACTCTTTCACGGGAGAAATGCTCGCCCAATCACGAGTCAGATACGTGCATTTACTGGGCAGCCCTGCGCACGACGAGTTCAAGGTACACATACATAGGGGCCGTTCATAAAATAAGTTCGCATACAAGGGTGGGGGGGGGACTTGCTAAGTGTGACAAGAGGTGACAAGGGGGGACGGGGGGTCTACGGCAACGTGACGTTCGTCGTTCATTAAAGAAAAAAAAAATGGTTGCCTGTAAAGTCGGTTTTACGGGCGAAGATTTTACGTGACAACGTCTTTTTCTCGGTAGAATATTTATTGATATGAATATAATTAAATTGCACAATAGGAACAAGGAATTGAATGAAAATAAGAATTGCACAAATTTTAACTATAGAAATATATTTTGTTTACTAAAACATTGTACATGTAAACTTAAACTTAACACGAGAGACTCATCGTAACGTTACCGAGCGTTACACTTTTTCATAAGTGACTCCCAGCCGCAACCTAATTTAAGACGTTGTCACGTCAAAATGTATTTAATTAATTGAGAACTTCGGAGATTTTGTGTGGTTTCGTTTGAAATAGAAATCACGTGATTTCTCGAAAACCGGAAGTGCTACGTTACTCAAATCCGGTTTGTAGTCTTATCAGACTATTCTCAACTTATATAACTTAAACATTCTCTTTATCTATCTCTTACGGTTTGGCCACTGAAACAGCACCACGGACGGACGGACTTGTCTATTAGATAAGAGATTAAATTAGTATTTCATTCAACTATTTTTCTTTCTCAATTTCCATCAAGATAGAAAATCATTTATTTCGTATTCAGTAAACATATAGACATTCAAACGTAAATAGTTTTATTATACAATAAATTGTAACTAATAAACTATTGCAATTAATCTTACTTGAGAGGGGGGGGGGGTCTCCGTTTTTGTGACGGAATATTTCAAGAGGGGTCACGGAAAGTGTGACACAGCGTGACAAAGGGGGGGGGAGGGACCACAACAAGTATTGTACAAGTTTTGTATAAAATTAGTGTATGACTTGTTTCTTGGTATAAACGAGGCGTATGGGTACAAGTTGAGGAGCTCGACGGTGCTAGTGGTTAGCGCGTTCGGCTGCGATCGTTGAAGTTAAGCAACTTTCGCAGTGGTCGGTCATTGGATGGGTGACCAAAAATTTACTATCTCGAGCTCCTCCGTGCTTCGGAAGGCACGTTAAGCCGTTGGTCCCGACTGCATCTGCAGTCGTTAGCACCCGCCAACCCGCACTGGGCCCGCATGGTGGGTCATGGCCCAATCTCCCTAATCCATCCATGGGAAGGCCTGTGCCCCAGCAGTGGGGACATTAATAGGCTAATGATGATTATCTTTATATATATAATTCTTCTGTGAGTGTGTATGTCACTGAACTTCTCTTAAACGACTGGACCGATTTTGATGAAATTTTTTGTGTGTGTTCAAGGGGATCTGAGAATGGTTTTGATTCACAATTTTGTCCGCTGGACAACCCCTATTTTTTTAGGGCGGTACGAAGTTCGCTGGGTCAACTAGTATTATGTAAAGTATTAAAATGACACATCCCTTTTCGTCTCTTTGGTGTCGAATAAAAAGAAATTTAAACTGATTTTTGTTTTCCTTCCCACAGTTCAAAGCATCAGTCGGAAACGTACGAACCAACACCCTTTACGACTTCCGACTCACGTTCATAAAGCTGGAACTGTACCAGTCGACGAACGAGGAGTTGGTGCTCAACAACACGAGAGAATCGTTCATATCCTCGCAGCATCTCCGCTTTCAGACCCGACCTCTAACATTGCCCAATGACCGCGTACAATACACCATATTGCGGCCGCCCAAATACGGCATCCTTCACCTTTCATCCGGCAAACATCATATACAGACGCACAGCACCTTCACTCAACATCATATAGATACAGACCAACTCTGGTACCGTCTCCACAGGAGAGCATACTCCCATATACAAGACGAATTCTCATTCGTAGTGAGCGCCGCGGAATGCGACAATATTACAGGAGTGATGACCATTCGACACGTCCCCGGGTCCTTAACAGCCGATCATAGCTCGGGCCGACTACACACCACTTTAGAACGGCTCCAAGTCATGGAAGGATCCAGAATGGTGATACCGGCCACCCATCTCAACTTCCGAACGGATACGATCACCAACCTCGTGTTCAACATAACGCATTTGCCGAAACACGGCAAGATCGAAGTGATCAACGACAACTTGAAGATAGCTAGGGACAACACCACATATTTCACTTTGCAAGAGCTGAACTCCGATCGGGTTTATTACGCGCACGACGATTCGGAGAGCAGACACGATTCGTTCCATTTCATGGCGCTGAGTCCTGAGCCGGAGGACTTTCAATACGTCGGCGTTTTCCACATAGATATAATACTGAAGAATGACAATAGTCCGGTACGCGCTAACGACAACGTATTCCATATAGTACATGGGGGCGCTCGTCTCATCACCGCCCGCGATCTGAGCTACACAGACGCCGATTTGGATACGAAACCATCGGATATAGTTTACACAGTGCAAAGGTATACTAAGGAGCCACCCAACGGCGGTATATTCCGCGCGGACAATCCCGCGGAGCAGATTGCTCAGTTCACACAAGACGATATAAACAAGAATCTGGTACTGTTCAAACACCAGGGCAAGGAGTACGGCAAGATGGCGTTCTGGATATCCGACGGGCTGTTCGACGTGAACGGAAACCTGGAGATACAGGCGTCGCCGCCCTTCATACGGATGTACCCCACCAACGGGTCGATAGTTGAGAATGGAAAGGCGGTTGTGATCACTGCCAAAGATATGCAGGTGAGTAAATCTAATATATAAAATTAGCAAACCTGTGAACCAAATGTTCACCAAAAAAAAAAAGTATTTAATTAATTGAGAACTTCGGAGATTTTGTGTGGTTTCGTTTGAAATAGAAATCACGTGATTTCTCGAAAAACCGGAAGTGCTACGTTACTCACATCCGGTTTGTAGTCTTATCAGACTATTCTTAACTTATAACTTAGACATTCTCTATATCTATCTCTTACGGTTTGGCCGCTGAAACAGCACCACGGACGGATGGACGGACGGACTTGTCTAATAGATAAGAGATTCTCGTGTCGCGGTGTTTGTGGTTAAACTCCTCCGAAACGGGTCTATCGATTTTCGTGAAATTTTATATGCATATTCAGTAGGTCTGAGAATCGGATGTTATCTATTTTTCATCCCCCTAAATGTTAAGGGTAATCCACCCCTAAATTTCTTTTTCAATTTTAAATATATATATTTTTTTATTTTTTTTTTTATGATACACCATACAAAAATACATACATCCCTAAATTTTCAACTTTCTACCACCAACCCTCTTTTATGGCGGTACGAAGTTCGCTGGGTAGTTAGTAATCATTATAAAGTTATGTATTCTTAGGCTCATATGACAGAATGAAAACTTTACTAAGTGTTGATCTTTACTTGAGTACAGTTAGAAAGGGATATCGCTATGTATAGCACATAATAAGGCCAACCTAACCAACTATGTATAGCACAAAGCGACATCCCTTTCTAACTGTACTCAATTAAAGCTCAACACTAACTCGTTCTTCTGTAATACGAGCCTTAGTATTTGATGATTTTTTTTTGTTGAAGTTCTCCCGTTTTAGGGAAGGCAAAGGGAACAATGCCCATACAGCCTAGTCTTTAATTAAATTAATCTTCTTTTTTTTACATTAGAATGTCGGTGTGACGCATTCTAATGTTTCTTGGAGTGTTTGGCACGAAATGTATCGAGTTGGCTTTTTCGATAAGCTTCTGTGAGGTAGTCAACACTACAATAAAATTCTCACGTCCACTTGACCGGAATAGCGTATATTTTAACGATTCCACTAATTCTTCAGTTACGCAGACGGTTGTTACACAAAACCACACCAATTTTATTTCACAATATCCACTATGAACGAATTTAAGAATAATTAAAATAAGACGCCAACCGTCTTATTTTAATCCCGCCAAAAAAAACAGTATTTGATGAAAATGCTCAGTGTTGCCACCTTGGATTTTTTAAGGCGCCAAGTCAAAGGCAATCATTTCAAAAATTAGGATTTAATAAAATACACCAAAATCCGCTAAATTACAATTACATCTCTGATAACAAAAAACCCTAATTTAAATAAAAAACCAGTGAATATGTATGAGATGCTATAGAAATAACTGTGAGTAACCACATAGAACATTATGAAATTTCGGAAAGTTAGGGCATTTCCCCCTTAAAAATATGTTGCTAGATTTCATGTTAAAAAACCACTAAAAAAATTTACCCGCTAGATGATGAAAATATACCACTAGAAGCCGTGAAAAAGCACCAGTTCTGGTGGAAAAACCACCAAGGTGGCAACACTGAAAATGCTTTCAAAATCAGTTTTTGTTCATAGAATCGAGATCTATCAAACTCACGATTGATTGTCACTAAAGCACCTGTTGGTTCATAACAATATAAGTCAAATAACTTCTTAAAAATCTGATGTAGTGTAATACGCTAAGCTCTAGAGTGTAAAAAAAAACCGATAAAAATCATTGATTGTTTTTATAACTTTCTATTGTTTTGTATTGGGTAGTAAACTAGAGCCATTCCCACTAAAAATCTTAATTAAAATGAAAAAAAAATATGGGTGCGTGTACTTAAGTACGCGCGTGAGAAGTTATACTTCTTTTTGGAATTATTAAAAAATAGTTTTTAATTGCATGCAGATAATTAATTACAATAAGATAATAAAAGGATTGGAAAAGGATAGTCAACGCAGTCAATAAAGTTCAGTTTTGATTGGAAAAATTTAATAAATAATCAAAATATTCAATTTAAATCACTACTGAATTTAAGTTATTAGTCCATATGTAATTAGCACTTGTAAGTAACTAAAACACGTTGTGTCTATATAGAAACTAGAAACATGTGGATAAATATTATAAATATGAAAACAGTGATCAGGGGCGACGAGCGTGCCAACATTGTTTTTGACAACGCGATCATCTTATGGAGCTCCGTGGATCGTTCAAAGTACCTTTCGAACAGATGTCTAATAATGGTGGATTATTAACCACTAAGTGGTTAATAATTCACCATTATTAGATACTAACATTCATAACGCGCCCGCGGCCAACTTTATGGTGTTACTTTTGTGTTACAGTGATGCGCGCGCATCTTAAAATTTCACTTTCATAATTTTTTCATAACGCGGCTAAAGAAGTATAACTTCAAAAAAACAAATAAATGCTACTATCTCTTCATTCTTGTCAACTATTTGAATTCAAAAGAGATGGATTGAGGCCTAAAAACATGATTTTGTTTTTAGACATTTGGTGCAACTCAATGGCCTTAATATAAGTCAAATGTTGTAGGTGGACACGAACATGAACTGCTTAGAAGAGGACATTCGCTACGAAATAAAATTGTTTCCGAAGCACGGCTCCATAGAGGTCGGGGAAGGCCAGGGATCAGGGTCGTTCACGCAGTTGGACGTGGCCACGGGCCGGGTGTTGTACCGGCACCGCGAGCCCGGGACACTGGCCGACCAGGTCAGGTGCGTATATGGGGCCGGGGCCAGGGGCCAGGGGCCATAACACGCGGAAGAATCCCTAAACGGGGATCCCGCGGTTTCGCACTAAGCAGCTTAGAGGGTTATAATTTTTATTATTTTTAAAGCATGTAACTGCTTGATGTTCAAATCTAAAGAAAATATATAACTATAATTATAACTATAATTGCTATTTCTTCTTTCAAATGTTTAATACTTGTAAAAGTATTCATTTGACATTGGGGGTTTTACCTATAATGCGAAGAGATGGCGCTGCCTTGCAGCTTAAGAATAGCTAGAAAGAATTTCGACGCGGTCCGTGAGGGCCGCGGTAGCATAATTGGTCAGTGCATTCGCCCGGATTGCGAAGGGTGCGGGTTCGAGTCCCGTCTGCTGCCTGGTCCGCGTGGAATTTTTTCTAGTTATATTTTCTTTAGATTTGAGCTTAGAGGGTATTCGCAGGACTTTTTTAGCGGATATTATACCGTAAAGCGCCCGTAAGAGTTGCGGGGTCCTCGGTGGGCAGCCACGGGGGGGGGGCGTAAGACTTGCGGGAGCCAGGTGTGAGGTCCGTTCGGCCTTGTGCCTCTTAAAGGCGCCGTCGTCTGTAAATAGATTTTTTACCTGCATATTAAAAAAAAAGGGGCCAGGGGCCATGGAGGCTGACAAGTTGGCCATATTTTTGTATGTACTTAAGTATTTTGATTTTTTAAAATGTAACTAAAAAATAATCTAGTGCTCCCCTCATCATAATACTAATTTGCAAAAATTTAACATTTTATTTCATATGTTTCTTAGGTTTTCACGCACATCACTCATTAAATAAAAACTAGATTTTACGGGTTAATGCACGAAACTTTATTTATTTATTGACGTTTTGTAGCCTTTACAGGCTTCGTCGTCAGAATAAAACTTTTATTTAATTTGTCGAGCTACCTTCGAAAGACTTTTATTGAGCGTTTGGTTATTTCATTGTTCGATTTTTAAGTTTTATTGTCTATGTATGAATTTATTATTTAATATACTTAATAAAGTATTTTTTTTTTTTTTTGTAATTTTGAGTTTATTTATTTGACCCTAACTACCGTAAACTACCACCGGTTCCAAAATTGGGAGACCTTTCTGAGAAGAACCGGCGAAACAAACTCAAGAAATAACCAAACGCTCAATAAAAGTCTTACGAAGGTAGCCTGTAAAGGCTACGGAACGTCAATAAATAAATAAAGTTTCGTGCAGTAATCCGTAAAAACTAGTTTTATTACAAGCTTTTATTTAACTTGCTATGTATGTTTGTTACGGTCAAATCTTACAACTCAATTTTAAAGCACTTGCCCTCAACCGATTAAGCTGAAATTTGGTATGCTCGTTCAGTTCGGATGACAATGCATGCTTAACAGTGTGACGTCATTCTAAATCCAATATGGCGGCATACCCAAAATGGCGGACCAATCATTTTTAATGCATTCCTACAATATGGGTATCAAATTAAAGGGCTTGCCGAGAGTAACTCGAAAAAATGTGACGTCACTCTCAATCCAATATAGCGGACTTCTAAAATTTGAAAATCTATTTAGAAACAAACTTTAACCAAATTTTCTTTTTTTCTTTTTAGCGCATTTAAATAAAAGCTTCTTTTTAAAAAGGTTTTTGTACCTTAATTTTTTATTTTATTTCATGTTATGTCATCCATTAGAGAATTTTCGTACCACCTAAGTAGTTTAAATTGATTCACCAACTACTGTTTTCTTTATGTCTTCATCAGTAATTTGAGTAGCGAGGGAATTTTCTTTTAACAGTTCAATTCTCGTAACCGTTAATTGTCGTTGTGACGGCACAGGTTCAAGGTGACCTGCCTGGAGACCTGGGGCGAGGGCACGTACCCCGTCAAGATCTACCCGTCCAGCTACTGGCAGCCGCTGCGCGTGGCCTCCTGCCTCCCCCTGGCCGTGGAGGAGTCCACCAGCGTCAACGTCACCCGCGCAGTGCTGGAGGTCAGTGAAAAATACACTTCAACCGCTACAACAACGACATATACGAACATTATGAGAAGTACAGTCTATTTGCAGCAGTATGGATGTTGACTATTTTTCGGAATTGCTCTTATTTTAAAGATCGTGTCATGTTTATCAAAGATATATATTTATATGTACTAGCGGACCCGACAGACGTTGTCCTGTCTAGTATGGTAGCGCCGTCTGTCGGATCCAATGTAAAACATTCCAAAATCAACAACTACTAATAAATTAAAAATTAATTAAAAAAACATGTCCAGCGGACAAAATTGTGAATCTAAACCATTCTCAGATCCCCTTGAACACACACAAAAAATTTCATCAAAATCGGTCCAGTCGTTTAAGAGAAGTTCAGTGACATACACACTCACAGAAGAATTATATATATAAAGATATATAATTATTAATGACCTTTGATGAGAAAATTAACTAAATTTTAGGAATATTATATTTCCCCCTAAAACACTCTCACAGCAGTCAGAACTGCCACTAACCGCTAAACATTGTTCACCATTATAATTTTTATTTTTTTAAAGCATGTAACTGCTTGATGTTTAAATCTAAAGAAAATATAACTAGAAAAAAAAGGTAAATTTAAAAGATCAAAAAACCCGACTGCTTAATTATACTTCAAATAAAAACTGAAAAGAAAAAACAAGTCCAGTAGTCTATAGTCTCTGGTAATAAGGAACAAAGCTACTTTAACAGCCGGGACCCATTAGATATTCAAGAATACATAATATTTTTCAATAATGGGTCCCGACTGTTAAAGTAGGTTTGTTCCTTATTAACAGAATTATAGACTACTGGACTTGTTTTTTATTTTCAGTTTTTATTTGAAGTATAATTAAGCAGTCGGGTTTTTTGATTTTTCAAATTTACCTTTTTTATTTCACACTTTTTAGTTAGTTAGTATTTTAAGACGGTATATACCGTAGTGTTGTTACTTCAGTAAGGGAATTAATATCGCGGGAATTATTAAGTACCTTGCGTCGGTCTAAGAGATTGATTTATTAAGACATATAGAGACTTTACCAGCGGGGTCAAGGCTACAGATGGGCCTCAATTTTCGCAAAAATGTGTGAAGTTAATCAAGTCGTTACATAAATATCTAATGTATGTAAATTTTATAGTAAACTAGCACTTATTCAAAAAGTCAATCTTTTGTTTATGTTTTTTTTAGTAGTTTAGCAGTAAATATAAAATTTATTTACTTTTATTCGTCGACTATTTAAAATTAGCAGTGGCAGCATTGTCATGTCGACGTCCGGCTCTAAGATTGTGATATACACAAATGCAGTGTCATATCCTAGTCTCATAATTTGATATACCTACTTATTTCACAGAAACCCAATGTGTAGATGCCAGAAGTTAACTTCAAATGTTGTTAATCACCCTATATATAAATACCAATCAATGACGTTTATGTCGCATATTGCAAATAGTGCAATTATTTTCTAAATATTTTTTTTGTATAAAAAAAAAATACCGAATAACGTACCGCTGTTAAGCACAAATACTAATTAACTTTTACAAATATAATCAAATAAACCTATTACTTACTTTTTTTTTCATCAATTAAATACTATTATCCTAACTATCTATAAAGAGGCAAGATTTGTATGTATATACAAATAATCTGTCAAACTACTGAACCGGTTTCAAATATTAATTCATCATAAGGTAGCTACATTATTTATTATTACATTTTTCTTTATTTAAATACATTTTGTCCGAGTGCCATAGGCTATATTTTATCCCGATAAAATAAATTCCGTCCGTACAATGCCCGGATGGATCACTAGTAAGTATAATATAATATTATAGATGCGGAAGTGAGTTTGTTTGTTGTCCTTCCGTGCCCTAATAGCTAAATCGATTATAATGAATTCCCCTATAGAAGTAGATGGGAACTTGGTTCTTAGCTACAACATCGCAATATTTATAGGCGTAGGGTGATTTACTTATAAAAATCTATATTATTTACTTTGAATTTTGCAGAATTATCGTTTATAATTACAAAACCAATATTATCGCGAGCTGATTAATAAATACAGGGATTCCAATAAGTATGTATCTACTAGCGAAAAATGGGTTATTTGTCATTATATTAAGTAAACCTTTTTTGTAACATTATCGTTAAAAAAAAACAGTATAATTCTGAGTTTTTCATTAAAATTCAATAATCATAAATACCTATTAAGATAATTTATTTTTCATCGTTTAATAAGAAAGAACTGTATCACAGTTTTATTGTAAGTACTTCATATAGGATCAGATACTGCGAGTAGCCCATTTTTTTCCTTTTCGCCTAGGTTTTATCCACGTTTATAAACACCTATATTAAATTTCTTCTCTTAGTATTCCCGCAGTCTACTCCTACATAGTACACCGCTTATCACTTTGTCATCGTTGTAACTTTTTAAATATTTGTGGAAATGACATAGTGTAAAAGGCAAAGTTTACCGTCTTTAAATATCAAAAGCGATAAAAGTAGTTGTTTTGATAAAAAAAAAATTGTTAATACAAAATGTACATTTTGGAAATAGATATCAAATAATATTTTAGTTTTGATTCACTATTTTAGCGGTAATGGCTTACGCATTAAAAATAGATATATGGTGTCACGGACTTTTTTTTAGAACTATTTAAGAGATACATTTTCACTCTACATTACATTCATGTAACTTTTATTATTTTTGCAGTGCAGGCCAAAATGGCTCGCAGATGGGAGATTTTTTTCCGTCTTATGTGACATTTATTGTTATATTTTGGCCAATTCACTCAATAACTACATAAATTATTATATATATGATATTATCATATATGATCTATATTACTGTTCAGTTTCATTAAAATCCATTCAGTATTTTTTAGGTAACAAAGATCCATACAAACAAACGTAAGATTGAAATTAAAAGCGCAAGTGGTTAATATACAACTTTAAAGCGTTGTAGATCCTAAACAATCATATAAAATTAATTATGGTGTTAGGAACCTAAACATGATTTTCGATTATCTAGATAGTGATACCCCACTCGACATATTTTGTCAACTTATTTTTTTTACTTCGTCACAATATGGCGCCTAATTTTGCCCATATTGAATTTTGATTACTATCATATCTTTAGTAGCACTCCCATGATTGAGACGAATCGATTGATGTATGAATCATCAAAATCGGTCCAGGCGTTTAGTCTCTAGTGTGCCACAAAGGAACAAACATACATATATATAGACTGTTAAACACTATAACCCTGTCTGCGCGTCGCGCTTCGCGCTCTTGCATTGCGCAGTCGGGTAAAAATTCCACGAGGACCAGGCAGCAGACGGGACCCGAACCCGCACCCTTCGCAATCCGGGCGAATACACTGACCAATTATGCTACCGCGGCCCTCGCGGTCCGCGTAGAAATTCCTCTAGCCATTCTTAAGCTGCAAGTATTAAATACTTGTAAAAGTATTCATTTGACATTGTGGGCTTAAGAATGGCTAGAGGAATTTCGACGCGGACCGCGAGGGCCGCGGTAGCATAATTGGTCAGTGCATTCGCCCGGATTGCGAAGGGTGCGGGTTCGAGTCCCGTCTGCTGCCTGGTCCGCGTGGATTTTTTTCTAGTTATATTTTCTTTAGATTGTTCACCATTCTTAAGAAATTGTCGAATTATTGTTTCTCTTCAAAAAAGTGAATACAAACAATCAAAATGAACACAAAGTTTTACAAATGCTGTGCAGTGCCCATATTATGTTTCGTATATTCACATTAAATACAGATTCCAACAATTGGTATTTTATTGTTCATACTGTCAAATAGGCTATTGACGTTTTGACATTTCACATAAGTACTAAAAATTTGACTAAAGACAACTATAAATTAGATGCTTAAATAAAAGTTGGAAATAGGTGACTAGATATTTATTCTGTAGGAGCAAGGTTAAAATGAATTGTATTTGGATTTTCTGCTTATTCAAATTAGGTTCAAATTTGTTTGCTTATTGCGATATTTTTATGTTTATTGCGTATGCTTAATAGTAAAAAAGTAAAAAAGCTATTTAGTTATGGTTTAGTGGCTAAATAGCCCCGTCGTAACAAAAACGAATGACCAACAAGTGGCCACAAAATATAATATTGATTATAATATTTTTGCAGTTTATATTTATATAACACATATATATTTTTCATTTTGTAATTTCATATAATAGGGATGATGACTATTTTTTTTTTCTTCGTTTATCAGGTAGATTATCAAAAAGTATTGGACACGTATTTTTTCTTTTCTCACATAATATAAACATTGCAGAGATATATTGATTTGAAAAGTCGCATGACGTCACGTTTGAGTACACTTATAAGTGAAAATTCACTCAAAAGTGACGTCACGAACCCCTACTCCCAAACTTTGACGCGCTATAACTTTGTCATTTTTTGGTTGATTGCCCAAAGAAAAAATACGTGTCCATTATTTTTTGATCATCTAACTGACGGACTAAATAGAATTTCATTTACTGTACCCCGTCATCACCCCTATTGTTGGTACGAAGTTTTTGATTTGATAACCGGTTCTCCCGTCAGGTGATGCATCCTCAGATCGAACCTTCAAACATTGTCTACAAAGTGACCGAGGGTCCTTACCACGGGTGGTTGGAGATCACCTCCACTCCTGGAACCGTGGAAGTAGAGAATTACAACGAAGAACCGGTCCATGTCAAAGTCTTCGACCAGTCCATTATCAACGCCAACAGACTGGTCTACGTGCAGTCTGGTGTAAACAGAACGAAAGACAGGATCAAAATGGACGTCACCAATGGCATAGTGTGGCTCCGGGACTTGGAGCTGGCTGTTGTTATAATACCGGAGCATTTCTACGTGGCAGCGGCGAATCTGACCGTTGTAGAAGGCGAGGCGGTTAGCTTACGTCCGGATTTGTTCAGGACACTCACTGAATATTACCGGGGCAAAGTGGTCAGCTACAAAGTGCTTGACAAACCAAGGTACGGCAAGATCATGATGGCCGACCAGGAGCTCAGTCTGTTGCCTGTGTTGAAGCTCAACTCGCGGAATATTCAGGTGAGTTCTTGATGACGCACTTTCTTGAAAAACAATGCTCACAGTGTCTGTGGAATATTGTTTTATAAATAGGTAATCTACTTAATTTTTGATACTATAGTCTATGGTCACTTTGGCGTGAGACAAAATGTAAACAAAGAATCTGAGTTTATAAAACTTTTATAATGTCAGAAAGTACCTATTAGTCAATGATTAGGTATAATTTATGCAACCTATAATTTATTAACAACTTTAAAGTTTAAGTAAAACTTAAAATTTTCAAACAAGGAAATAACAAGAATTTAACAAATAAGATAGAATATGCACGCTCGCGTCAACAGGTTGATGGGGAGAGTAAAGATGGCTGACATAAACCAACCGATTACAAAACACAACACTTCAACGTAAAATACTTATATCATGTCTACTCTTAAATTTTGTCGTATTATAGTACGTCTGAAGTTTGGGAATGATTGTGTTTTTAGGTCCTTTTCCATGTCAACTTAAGTTGTTAAAATACTTTTATCAGCAAAATAAAAATATACGAATTTATGATGTGTATGTAGGTTAAATATGTGTAAAATATTTTATTTTCTTATTCATATGTATGTACCAGCTTTTTAAAAAAATGGTTGCCTGTAAAGTCGGTTTTACGGGCGAAGATTTTACGTGACAACGTCTTTTTCTCGGTAGAATATTTATTGATATGAATATAATTAAATTGCACAATAGGAACAAGGAATTGAATGAAAATAAGAATTGCACAAATTTTAACTATAGAAATATATTTTGTTTACTAAAACATTGTACATGTAAACTTAAACTCATCGTAACGTTACCGAGCGTTACACTTTTTCATAAGTGACTCCCAGCCGCAACCTAATTTAAGACGTTGTCACGTCAAAAAAGTTAATTTAATTTTTCGCTGCATTTCCTATGTAAATAGTACTTAATCTTTACTTTTGTCAAATGTTACCTTAAAAAGTATCTTTTTATGGTTTGTTTACATTTTATCTCACGCCAATGTGAATAGACTATACAAACTTGAAGTAGATAAATTTAACCAGCTCAATCACCTTAACGCGATTTTTTTTTTATATTATAGGTGGCATACGAGCAGACAGCTCACCTGATGGTAAGTGATCACCGTCGCCCATGGACACTTGCAGCACCAGGAGTATCACAAATGCGATGCCGGCCTTTAAGGAAGGAGTACGCTCTTTTTTTGAAGGTTCTTGGGTCGTATTGGTCCGGAAACACTGCTGGCGACAACATATTCCACAGTTTTGTCGTACGTGGTAAAAATTTTCGACAAAAACGCACGGTTGTGGATAGCCACGCATCAAGATGATGGGGATGAAATTTTTGTCGCGATGTACGATGGCGAAATGCAGCAGCTGGAATTAAATTAATTATTTTTTGTGTATAATTGATTATCGGAATTACCGTTTTATAAATTAATTATACTTTAATCATTTAACAATGATTTAAAAAAATATGTTACTATAATATGCTCTTCGCACGTACTCTCCTCAATGTTTAAAGCACAACGGAATGTGACTTTTGATGCTTTAGAAACCGCGAGCTAATATACAATTACTTAAAAATACCTATTTGAGGAGCTCGATGGCGCAAGTGGTTAGCGCGTTCGGTCGTTGAAGTTAATGAACTTTCGCAGTGGTCGGTCATTGGATGGGTGACCAAAAATTTACTATCTCGAGCTCCTCCGTGCTTCGGAAGGCACGTTAAGCCGTTGGTCATCTGCAGTCTTTAGTACCCACTAGGTCATGGCCAATCGCCCTATTCCATCCATAGGGAAGGCCTGTGCCCCAGCAGTGGGGACATTAATAGACTGATGATGATGACGATGCCTATTTAAGACGTCATTGTGTCTGAAGACCTCCGTGGCCGACTGGAAACATACCGGATTTCAAGGTTCGAAGCCTGGTAGGGCTAATGTTAGTTTGATGAATACGAGCATCTCTTATCTATTAGACAAGTCCGTCCGTCCGTCTGTGGTGCTGTTTCAGCGGCCAAACCGTAAGAGATAGATAAAGAGAATATTTAAGTTATAAGTTAAGAATAGTCTGATAAGACTACAAACCGGATTTGAGTAACGTAGCACTTCCGGTTTTCGAGAAATCAGGTTTTGGTTCACTGGTTTGCTAGTTTGTACCTAAGTCTTGAATGTTCAATGTATAAGTACATAAAGGTGTCAATTCTGGCATGATTGTCTTAACTTAAAACTAAATTTAACATCAGTCTCTCCTTTTCATTCTGTGTAGAATGACAAAGATACACTGTTGTCAAAGGACACCCGGCATTTTGTGCCAAAGTTGTATACTTTTTTAATTTTTTTATCTGTGTTTCATAATTGGGTAATGTAGTCTGGCAATATTTGTCATCAGCAGCTAGCTGTCAATGTCAAATACGTAGGTTTGTCATCAAAAGGGTTTCTATATCAAAAAATATTAATCATTAAATAACTTCTTTCCACGATTCACTAAAAATAAGGCAAAAGTAGTTTTATGTAGCAAATAATTTTGGCTTTATTTTGAGACCAAATTCAACTGTATACAAGTTTAGCATTTTTTCTATGAAAAGTGCCGGGTCTCCTTTAAGTTTAGGTTTAGAGAATCATGTCAGAATCATAACCAAAATATACTTATATGCATCCGTTACTCAGTATCCCATAACAAGAGCCTTTCAGTGCTTACTTTAGGGGTTATTGGTGTGAGTTTGGATATATTTATTTATATACTACCCTTAGCACGAAGTTATATCGAATTCGTATCGTTTGCGAGTAGGAAATGTCATTGTCACATGTATACTTATTTTTAGTTCTCGTTTCGCACGTTATGGCGGTAATGTTCAAGTTTTCATACAAAATTTGACAATGCCATTTCGGACTCGAGAGGAGCTCGTTCGGCTGCGATCGTTGAAGCTAAGCAACTTTCCCAGTGGTCGGTCATTGGATGGGTGACCAAAAATTTACTGTCTCGAGCTCCACCGTGCTTCGGAAGGCACGTTAAGCCGTTGGTCCCGGTTGCATTTGCTGTCGTTAGCAACCACCAATCCGCACTGGGCCCGCGTGGTGGGTCATGGCCCAATCTCCCTATTCCATCCATAGGGAAGGCCTGTCCCAGCAGTGGGGACATTAATAGGCTGATGATGATGATTTCGGACTCGCAACCTTTCGAATTCGATAATGGTTCGTGCTAAGTGTACTGTACAACTGTACATATATAAACTATATAGATATATGTATATATATATAGATATATATATATAGATAAACTTATCAACGCCAGTCCTCTCTACCAATAGTACGTAAACGATGGATCTGAAGAATCGTCCGACCTCATCAAGCTAGTTGCTATCACTGAGAACGGCAAGGAGAGCGAGCCATTCCACATTCGCGTTAATATCGTGCCCGTCAACGACGAGACACCCATCGTGGCCGCCAATACGGGCTTGTGTGTGTGGGAGGGGGGGACCTTCACTTTTACCAGGAACGAGCTCTGTGAGTACGATACTATAATCTATTTGACAAGTCCGTCCGTCTGTCTGTGGTGCTGTTTCAGCGGCCAAACCGTAAGAGATAGATAAAGAGAATATTTAAGTTATAAGTTAAGAACAGTCTGATAAGACTACAAACCGGATTTGAGTAACGTAGCACTTCCGGTTTTCGAGAAATCACGTGATTTCTATTTTGTAATTATCACAATTTTAATTCACTATTTAAAGGCTTTTTTTCTTTTTTTTTTGTAACTAAATAATTTCAAACGAAACCGCACAAAATCTCCGAAGTTCTCAATTAATCAAATTCATTTTTTAAATCAGGTTTTGGTGAACATTTGGTTCACTGGTTTGCTAGTAATAATAATAATTTATATCCAGTAAGAGTTGATTTACAATTTAACTTATAAGGCTAAAACAGTACTAATGGTGTCGATTCTAGCATGATTCTCTAAACCTAAACTTAAATTAGACAGCAGTATATCCTTGTCATTCTCTATACAGAATGAAAAGGAAAGACCGATGTTAAATTTAGTGTTAAGTTTAGAGAATCACGCCAGAATTGGCACCAATATCTCTTAACATAATTACATATTTATGTGCTGCCGAACTAGGCAAAATGCCTGTATTACGGCATACAGCGCCAATCCCCTTAGCACATATGGCATCGTAAATCCGTTACATTCAAAATTAAATGGAAAAGACAAGAAACTGACATATATATTAAAAAAATGTGATTACTGATACATATCAGTAATCATAATCATAATCAAAATCATTTATTCAGTTTAGGCTGTTACAAGCACATATGAATGTCTAGAAGCTACGCCATCGGTTCGTAAATCTACGGCGGGAGACCTTGTGATCTTGACCTTGACCTTGTAATAAGTTGATTGTGTGTACAGACGTAAACGACATCGACACCCCGCTTGAAAACGTGACGATCATCGTCTCGGACATCGTTTCCGGATACATCGCGACCCGCGGCCGCCTCGACTCGCCCGTACACAGATTCTCGCAGGCCGACATCGACAGGGGCGACGTTATATTTGTGCACAAGAGTAAGTATTGTTCAACGAATTAGTAAAGCATCACTAACTAACAAAGGCCGCTAAAGCATGGTCTCATACAACTAAACTTCATTACTAACGCGATACGCACACAGACAAAAAAAAATGGATGCGTGTAACTTATGTACGCGCGTGAGAAGTTATACTTCTTTAGCATCATTAAAAAATTTTTTTAATTGCATGCAAATAATTAATAATTACAATAAAATAATAAAAGGACTGGAAAAGGATAGTTAACACAGTCAATTAAGTTCAGTTTTAATTTGAAAAATCACTACTGAATTTAAGTTATTAGTCCATATGTAATTAGCACTTGTAAGTAACTAAAACACGTTGTGTCTATATAGAAACTAGAAACATGTGGATAAATATTATAAATATGAAAACGGTGATCAGAGGCGACGAGCGTGCCAACATTGTTTTTGACAACGCGATCATCTTATGGAGCTCCGTGGATCGTTCAAAGTACCTTTTGAACAGATGTCTAATAATGGTGGATTATTAACCACTAAGTGGTTAATAATCCACCATTATTAGACACTAACATTCATAACGCGCCCGCGGCCAACTTCATGGTGTTACTATTGTGTTACAGTGATGCGCGCGCATCTATAAATTTCACTCTCATCATTTTTTCATAACGCGCCTAAAGAAGTATAACTTCAAAAATAAGAAAGAGCGACAAATCAAATAAATTAGGGCCAACGAGAAGCGATACAGAAGTTCATTCACCTTAGACAAAACTATGGGTCTGGCAGTAATAACTAACTCTTTCGTCTCATACACATGACATTAGGTCTCGTTCGGTCGTGTCACGTCATCGCCGAGGCGCGGAAGTCCCTTTATAGTAAAACATAATGAAATATTTTCATTTGGGTCTGTATGTTTCTAATACTACTCGTGATAATAGCCATGGGCGTAGCCAGCCATGGGCTCAGGGTGGGGCAGCAGTCTAAAATAATCTCTTATCTATTAGACAAGTCCGTCCGTCCTGTGGTGCTGTTTCAGCGGCCAAACCGTAAGAGATAGATAAAGAGAATGTTTAAGTTATAAGTTAAGAATAGTCTGATAAGACTACAAACCGGATTTGAGTAACGTAGCACTTCCTTTAATTTATAAACTTTAACGCTCACTACATAATCGGAACTCGCAATAAACACAGGATATAGTACCCCCATAACTATAATTTTTGTTGTGATGTTTCTCGTTCTGTAATAAATGCAATTTTGTTTCAGATGGTTCTAAAGGGAAAATGATATTCAACGTCACCGACGGCCTGCACGAGTTGTCCAAAGTAACATTCCTCATAACCACCAAATCGGTTTCCCTGAAGCTCGCTCGGAAACAAACACTGCGCGTGTTCCCTCTCATGCGAGAACCTCTCAATAACTACTTCCTTATGTCCAAATGCTCCGACCCGACCAGGACGATCATTTACAAGGTGGACAGAGCTCCCACTCTCGGGAGGCTGATCATGTTGAACGGAGACAACCACCATAGATCTATAAAGCAGTTCTCCCAGCAAGACATCAACGACACCGTAGTTTACTACGAACACACACACCCTTTCTCCGATCTATACACGAACGACTCATTCATTTTCACCGTCGAAGCAGCGCTGGCCAAGCCGATCACAGATCAGATATTCAATATCGATATATCCGTATCTTCGGGCGGTCTAGCGAAATACGTGTACATACCGCAGATAAACGTGCAAGAGGGAGACAAAGTGCCGATCAAAGTGAATGTTAGTAACGTCATTGGGTATTTGGAAACTCAGGCTGGGCTGAGGCAGCCCCAGATCGAGGGTCAATGGTCACAGCCCTCCAACGGGGAGCTCAAACCTCCTATGTCCTCGCTGACGCAGTCGCAACTGGAGGGCGGAGTTGTCAATTACCAACACGACGGCAGCGATACGGTTCAAGACAAAATCGACATGGCGCTATATCTGTTGCCGGACTACGTTCTATTATGCAATGTCACGATCCCTATAAAAATAATGCCGGTGAACGATCAACCTTTCCGCCTGCTCACCGACACTCCGCAGATACAAGTGGTGCAAGGCGAAAACTATACGATTACGAAGAACGATCTTTTAACCGAGGACGCGGATACCGGACCCGCTGACATACTTTACGATATAATAAGCGGTCCGACGCAAGGACGAATAGTCATGTTGGATGTAAACCAGACCATTGACGAAGCTCAGTCGATAAACAAGTTCACGCAGGAGGACGTTAATAACGGACGCGTCATATACGAACACTCGGGTGTGCTGCAAACGGCTACGTTTTACTTTAGGGTTTGGGATGGACAGTTCAAGCCCATATACAAGGTTTTCACGATAGATGTCCTCCCTGTTATACTGAATGCGACTGCCATGCACCCTATAAGCCTGCAGCAAGGCTCCAACGTGGCCACTGTCACAACGGACCAGATTTACGTTGAAACTAATGCGAAGAAAGCCAAAGTTTGGTACAACGTCACCCGTCAGCCACTACACGGGATGGTTTACGTTGGCAGAAATCCTGTGACCTACTTCTCCAACAATGATTTGGTTGATAAAGTCGTGATCTATATGCAGAACGATATGACGACTGCGAACGACAGCTTTGACCTCGTCGCTTACGTCCACAATAGCAATGCTACGAGACCTTTCACGATTCAAGTGTTCGTGGTGCCGTTGATGGAGCTTCTGGGCGATATGAAAGTGGAATCAGAAAAAACAAAAATCACCCTGAATGTTATGGACGCGTCAGGACTAGCCAAGTTGACGGCCAGCGATCCGGTATACACGATATTAAGAAAACCGAGGCACGGAGTCATAAAAAAGATTATAAGAAGTTCTGGCGAAAAAACCAGCGCGAGAGTGAGAGAGGTAGCTTATTTTACACACGAGGATATCAAGGCTGGTGTAATTTATTATGTGACCAAAAAGAAATTGAACGATTTGAATGGGATAGAGGATAGTTTCCGTTTCCTGCTGGCGGCGACTATATTCCAGCCTGCCGCGGGGGATATTAAAATCTTCATAGGGAACAGGCCGAAGAAAAATTTGCCCGGACCGAACGACCCGGAAAGTCACGAGGGTGTTCCGGTGAGTTATATCTGTTTGTAATGTATTTGTAAACCAGAAAAGTCGACTAGTTTTTTTGAAAATTACACAATACAGTACAATAGGGGTGACGACGGGGTACAGTAAACGAAATTCTATTTAGTCCGTCAGTTAGATGATCAAAAAATAATGGACACGTATTTTTTCTTTGGGCAATCAACCAAAAAATGACAAAGTTAGAGCGCGTCAAAGTTTGGGAGTAGGGGCTCGTGACGTCACTTTTGAGTGAATTTTCCCTTATAAGTGCACTCAAACGTGACGTCATGCGACTTTTCAAATCAATATATCTCTGCAATGTTTACATTATGTGAAAAAAGAAAAATACGTGTCCAATACTTTTTGATAATCTACCTGATAAACGAAGAAAAAAAAATTAGTCATCATCCCTATTCGTTTATTATGACTTCGATGGGAATCGACAAACACGTCATACTAAGCGGACGTCATACAAAGCATTTTTGTAAAAAAAGATTGTGAGATGAGTTGGATTCTCCATTTTCTAATCAGCATATTATTGCACCTTTTTCCTCAGTCATAAATGCTTGAGATAACATTTTATTACATAGGATATTACTAAAAACAATGCGTGGTGTTCAAATGTAAATTACTCACTGAGATTCAAAACAAAAGAGTCAAGTGCCGAACGTTGTCATTACCGTAGGTGTAAAGAACCATGTCGGTCACTATAAACGGACAAAATTGATTAAAAATGGGTCATAATAAGCGACATGTCATTGTAAGCGAAGTATCCGACACTGTTACAATGAATTTTATATGAAAACCAAACTTCGTTGTGTAATCTCTTATCTAATAGACAAGTCCGTCCGTCCGTCCGTGGTGCTGTTTCAGCGGCCAAACCGTAAGAGATAGATATAGAGAATGTTTAAGTTATAAGTTAAGAATAGTCTGATAAGACTACAAACCGGATGTGAGTAACGTAGCACTTCCGGTTTTCGAGAAATCACGTGATTTCTATTTCAAACGAAACCACACAAAATCTCCGAAGTTCTCAATTAATTAAATACATTTTTTTTTTGGTGAACATTTGGTTCACTGGTTTGCTAGTTACGTCATAATAGGCGGTTGGTCAATATAGGCGGAGTCATAATAAACGGATTCTACTGTAGTTAATTTTTGCACCTTTGGTATAGGTACTTATAATTAATTTATATGGATAGTTTTTGAATCACTAAGAGTGTTTGTCGTTGTATCTTATTTTATTTTCGTTGAAGAAAATAATAAAGTTCCTCGATTTATACTCATTTTGATTCGACGTACTAAATTCCGTATTTTTGAATCGCTCGACGTCAACGAGCGGTCTGGACTACTCGTTGCATGCGAATGGTAGAAAAATTGTTAAATTTATGTCAAATATTTTCAAGATATTTTCTCAATCTTTTTAAAATACAGATCAGATGACGGTTTGTTGCGACGTTTTGATCTTTTTTTAACAGAAAAGGCAAAAGATAAAAATAACCTGTTATTGAAAATTATACGTTTATTTTTCACAGCGGCAACGTGTGAAAAATAAACATCTTTTTCCGTGAAATTATTAAAAATTAATATTTTAGGTGTGAGCGTTCTAAAGACGAACCGGTTTCAAGGACCGTTTTGTGTTCCGCGACGATAGAACCGTTTTACATTTCGGATCAAAACAGTCTTCGTCGAACAACTAGTCCTCGGATTGTCTGCACGCCAATATGTACTTTATGATGAAGTAAACACAGTCTATAACGGAACCCAATGATATGAGGTCGTTTCGTTCTATGATAAATTAAGCTTTGATTTTACAATAATATAATCTTTATTACATTTATTTCGATGTTTCGTCGTCTCGTTCGCAGCAACGATACGAACGTTAACAAGATTTCATTTAGTTCACTTTCGTTGCGTTACATTCGTTCGACCGTCGCGTGTCGTTTCATTGCGTCACCCAGCCGCAACCAAAACCAGTTGCGAACGAGAACCGCTTCGAGGACTAGTTTACGTTTAAGTGAAAACGGTTGCGTTTCGTCGTCAGAAAATTTGAGAACGACCCACCGCTATGTATTAAACTAGTAACATTGTAAATAACGATTCAAAAATATGGAAAATCATTATCATGCGACTTGGCAGTCAAAAGTGACATGTCGCTATGTCGTTCAACGATATTATGTCAGACGAGCGAATTAAAAATAGAGTTCCGGATAGTTCGTGTGTTTATACAACCCACCGAGGACTTTTTGGCGGAATCGGGAAGCGCCACTCTAGCAGTTTGGTTTTTCTTGTTAAAAATTGTGTTGTGGCGGATGTTAGTGTCTAATAATGGTGGATTATTAACCATTTAGTGTTCGGAAACATGCACAAGTGTTGGCAAGTGAAACAAAATAGCGGAAAGTGTCTTTCGACGTTCCCTCAACAAGTCCACGGGGAGGTTCCAGTAAATCCCCACACATTTACTGAAACATAGGGAAAGGGGGATTGACTTGACTGCCACTTACTTTGACTTGACTAATATTTTGACCACGAGTGCTATAGAATATGTAAACACACATGTTACACTTGACATTGGCTAATTGCACAAACTGTGCGAAGCCATATATATATATGTGTTACAAAAATATAAATAAAGCTTGAAGGGCGTTGAAGTTTATCATAAAAGGAGTCTTTTCTAATTTTCTTAAAATATTTGTGTGAAGTTCTAAGTTTTTATAAAAACATTTATTTTTAATGATCCTCGAACTAGTGACGTGTCTTAAAATGATCGATATTTTTATTAATCTGAAATCTAAACAACTGTTTTTATAAAAAGTAAAGACTTCATTCTTCTTCAAAGAGCAAGAGGAGCTCGATGGCGCAGGTGGCTAGCGCGTTCGGCTGCGATCGTTGAAGTTAAGCAACTTTCGCAGTGGTCGGTCATTGGATGGGTGACCAAAAATTTACTATCCGTTAAGCCGTTGGTCCCGGCTGCATTTGCAGTCGTTAGCACCCACCAATCCGCACTGGGCCCGCGTGGTGGGTCATGGCCCAATCTCCCTATCCATCCATAGGGAAGGCCTGTGCCCCAGCAGTGGGGACATCAATAGGCTGATGGTGATGATAATGAAAAACTTCATGCAAATATTTTAAGAAAATTAGAGAAGACTCCTTATATGATGTACTTTTACGCCCTTCAAGCTTTATTTGTAGTTTTGAAACACCCTGTAGAATAAAAAAAAAATGGTTGCCTGTAAAGTCGGTTTTACGGGCGAAGATTTTACGTGACAACGTCTTTTTCTCGGTAGAATATTTATAGATATGAATATAATTAAATTGCACAATAGGAACAAGGAATTGAATGAAAATAAGAATTGCACAAATTTTAACTATAGAAATATATTTTGTTTACTAAAACATTGTACATGTAAACTTAAACTTAACACGAGAGACTCATCGTAACGTTACCGAGCGTTACACTTTTTCATAAGTGACTCCCAGCCGCAACCTAATTTAAGACGTTGTCACGTCAACAACCCACCGATCCGTAGGTGTCTACGGGCGAGACGGCGTCGTACTACATGATGATAGTGATGGCCCTTTCGGGCACCGTGCTAGCCGTAGTATTCGTGTTGGCACTGCTCAAGTGTCGCCGCTACTTGCTCCGGGAGCAAGACGCGCTTCACAAGATCCACGGGCAGAGTCAGGGCGTGGCGCCTATACCGCTGCCCCGCCCACCAGACCATCTGATGCCCTCGCCCGCCCAGGGCACGCCGCCCATCAAGCGGTGAGTATATAAAATAAATAAATATTTCCAACACTCACACCAATTAGCCTAGCCCCAAAGTAAGCACTATAAGGCTTGTGTTATGGGATGCTAGGGTAACGGATAGAATACATAAACTGTACATATATAAGTATATTTTTATAGAAAATACATATTAAACATCCATGACTGGAGTTCAAATGCTCGTATTCATCACACAAACATCTGCCCCCACCGGGACTCGAACCCGGGACCTCTCGAGTCGGCAACACCATGAAACCCGGCGTACAAACCACTCGACCACGGAGGTCGTCAAAATAAAGAGAATGTTTAAGTTATAAGTTAAGAATAGTCTGATAAGACTACAAAACGGATTTGAGTAACGTAGCACTTACAGTTTTCGAGAAATCACGAATTTCAAACGAAACCACACACAATCTCCGAAGTTCTCAATTAATTAATTTTTTTTTATTTAAATCAGGTTTTGATGAACATTTGGTTCACTGGTTTGCTAGTTTATAATAAGATCAGTATTACAATCGTACAACTCAACAAATATGAAGTTAAAAAGAAGATCACTAAGTTTTTACTTCAACTAGATTACGAAAAAACTGAGAATTTGATTTTATACGGCCCTATAACTATAAATGATTATGATTATATATACACAATTACACATACGCATCACTCACATATACACAAACACACACACACACACTATAAATATAATCTCTTATCTATTAGACAAGTCCGTCCGTCCGTCTGTCTGTGGTGCTGTTTCAGCGGCCAAACCGTAAGAGATAGATAAAGAGAATGTTTAAGTTATAAGTTAAGAATAGTCTGATAAGACTACAAAACGGATTTGAGTAACGTAGCACTTCCGGTTTTCGAGAAATCAGGTTTTGGTCAACATTTGGTTCACTGGTTTGCTAGTTTTGTATATTAGACTAGCTGACCCAGCGAACTTCGTACCGCCCTAAAAAAATAGGGGTTGTCCAGCGGACAAAATTGTGAATCTAAACCATTCTCAGATCCCCTTGAACACACACAAAAAATTTCATCAAAATCGGTCCATGCGTTTAAGAGAAGTTCAGTGACATACACACTCACAGAAGAATTATATATAAAAAGATTACCATGTACAACTTTTTACAAATAAATATTATTACTATTGGATATGTTTTATGTTCTCGAGGAGCTCGATGGCGCAAGTGGTTAGCGCGTTCGACTGCGATCGTTGAAGTTAAGCAACTTTCGCAGTGGTCGGTCATTGGATGGGTGACCAAAACTTACTATCTCGAGCTCCTCCGTGCTTCGGAAGGCACGTTAAGCCGTTGGTCCCGGCTGCATCTACAGTCGTTAGCACCCACCAATCCGCACTGGGCCCGCGTGGTGGGTCATGGCCCAATCTCCCTATTCCATCCATGGGGCAGGCCTGTGCCCCAGCAGTGGGGACATTAATAGGCTGATGATGATGTTTTATGTGATGTATAGGTACGTTTCTTCGGAGCAGAGCGTTCATACTGGCGCTAGCACGCCGCTGCCCTCTGGCGGCAGCGTCGCTTGCAAAGTGACTCCGCTGGCAGACCAGGCGCTGGCCGACCTCAACGCGCGCTATCCGTATGGGGCGGACGACCATACTGATGTGAGCATTTTATTTTCATACTAGTGGCCCGCCCTCGCTCCGCTTCGGTGTAGAGCTGTAGTGTAAACTATAGTTTTTGTTCTCAGGCTTGTGCTATAAACAATGACTTTATTTATATAATTACACGTGTTATTGCACTGTTGCGGGATATTTTTTAGACAATTTTATGTAGAATATTTTCGTCATACATGATTTCTATGTAACTTTAACCATTAAGGCTGCACCCGCGACGGAAGCTTAAAAAATGGAGTAACTTCTCCCGTTTTCCCAACATTTCCCTTCACTACTCTGCCGCTATTGATTGTAGCGTGATGAAAAGTATACTATAACCTGCCCAGGAGTATGAAGAATAATTGTACCAAGTTTCGTTAAAATCCGTTGAGTAGTTTTTGTTTCTATAAGGAACATACACACAGACAGACAGACAGACAGACAAAAATTTTACTGATTGCATTTTTGGCATCAGTATCGATCACTAATCACCCCCTGATAGTTATTTTAAAAATATATTTCATGTACAGAATTGACATCTCTACAGATTTATTATAAGTATAGATTATGTAGTAAAACAAGTTATTACAAATAATCACATTCATTGCAAGTGCCTGCCAACACTCGGGAATTAATGCTAATTGCTACCTTAAGATCGGTCGCCCGTTGTCGAAATAAGACAATCAAAAATATTAGACCTTTAGAGTACGTTTTAGCACTTTGTAAAGGACGCCAGATGTCAGGAGGTTAAGTATATGAGGAATAATATTCCCCCTTCTCAACAAAAACTATTTCCGTCCAATTACTTCGCGGCTCAGTTGCGGCTTGACGTTTTGCCGTGACATCACCTTCGTAGGTACTACACATTCAAGTCCTTTACATATAAATGTATTTTAAGCAATTTAAGTAAAAAACAGCGTCGGTTGAGTCATCCAGGCCGGATCCAGGTAATTTAACAAGCGACGGACGCATTAATATGCGAGCGGAACCGCGCCAGCGTCATGTGGACCCGCCCTTACGACGCCCACTTTAAAGGACAAGTGCACTCGGCCTTATAGTTTTTTTTTTATATTAAGGTAGGCAAATGACTCTACCCCACCTGATGTTAAGTGGTAATAAAGTCCAAACGCGAAGATAGCTGGTACAGTAGTTATAAACTGCTACACCAATCATCCTCACCTTGCTGGCCTGCAAAAATGCTTCTTCACGCCTCTCTTAAAGGACCCCAGGTTATAGGAAGGAGGGAACACTTGCGCGGGTAAAGAATTCCACTTACGAATAGTACGACAAAGAAATGAGTCACCAAATTTCTTTGTTCGTGTAGGAATAGTGGCCATAGTAAGTCGGTGGCAACGTAGGCCAGCGCGCGTGGTCCTCTGAAAGGTGAGCGTAAAAGCATACAATACAATACAATACAAAACAAAACTCTATATCAGTGTTTCCTAACCTTTCCAATACTGCTACCCCTGTAACCTATTAGGGAAACAGATTTTACCCCGACTTTAAAATGTTATCATCAGTCCAAAAAATTCTAATTTGACCGCTACATCTTCGTCTCTAATAATGTCATCATCAGGAGAGAATCTCGCCCCGCTTCCCACACTCAGCACCCCGCGGGCTCACTAGCAAGTAGGAGCTAAAAGAAATTTAGCAAGAATCACTATTTCACTCTCGATGGTAAAGCTGGGATTGCTATTACAACTAAATCGGATTAAGTTCTCCAACTGAACGGTCCAGTCAGATCCACCATCTCGTTGGTTTTAATTCAAATTTTCGGTATATCTGCTGATTTTGTGGGCACCCCTACTTGGCAGTACGGGACATGTTATGGCGGTAACGTTTCCCTGTCAATTAGCCAAATTAAATATACCAAACCGTTATGGTACGAAATTAAAAAAAATGATGTGGTGTCGTGGAACACCAGGTAGGAACGAAGTTCCTTCGAGTAATGGAGAATCGACACCAATTGCAAACTCGCTTGTGTATGCGACTGTCGCGCCTGCGCACGTCTCATTTAACGGTTTTATTCCACGCACTTTTTTCCACGGATTTTTTCTTACGGTTTTACTATCACATTTTTTTCAGTTCGGTCGCGCAGCAAAATCCCTATCCCCTCCAAGCCTGCCGTAAGGAACTTCGTTCGTTTATCATGTCCAGCTTAAGTTTACAGCAGATGACAGGCGTTCCTGGTCCACAGCTCGGTATAACGTCACAAATATCCAGATTTCGTGTAATGTCACAATATTCCAGTGCTGCACCCTCGTAGCTGTGCCACCCCCTACATACGCACCTTATTATCATGTCCCGCTAGCGTTCGTAAAGGATGCTAGGCAGGACTGGCCCACAGTTTAGAATAAACTGCAATGTCACAATAATCCAGTGATGCACCACCGTCGCTCTGCCACCTCCTGATAAGTACTCACCTTGTAATCATAATCATGTCTCACAGGCGTTACTGGTCCACAGCTTGATATAACTTCACAAATATCCAGTGTTGGTGTAATATCACAATATTTCAGTGATGCGCCCTCGTCGCTCTACCACCCCCTATAACTTCACACATATTCAGTATTGGTGTAATATCACAATATTTCAGTGATGCACCCTCGTCGCTCTACCACCCCCTATAACTTCACACATATTCAGTATTGGTGTAATATCACAATATTTCAGTGATGCACCCTCGTCGCTCTACCACCCCCTATAACTTCACACATATTCAGTATTGGTGTAATATCACAATATTTCAGTGATGCACCCTCGTCGCTCTACCACCCCCTATAACTTCACACATATTCAGTGTTGGTGTAATATCACAATATTTCAGTGATGCACCCTCGTCGCTCTACCACCCCCTATAACTTCACACATATTCAGTATTGGTGTAATATCACAATATTTCAGTGATGCACCCTCGTCGCTCTACCACCCCCTATAACTTCACACATATTCAGTGTTGGTGTAATATCACAATATTTCAGTGATGCACCCTCGTCGCTCTACCACCCCCTATAACTTCACACATATTCAGTATTGGTGTAATATCACAATATTTCAGTGATGCACCCTCGTCGCTCTACCACCCCCTATAACTTCACACATATTCAGTATTGGTGTAATATCACAATATTTCAGTGATGCACCCTCGTCGCTCTACCACCCCCTATAACTTCACACATATCCAGTGTTGGTGTAATATCACAATATTTCAGTGATGCACCCTCGTCGCTCTACCACCCCCTATAACTTCACACATATTCAGTATTGGTGTAATATCACAATATTTCAGTGATGCACCCTCGTCGCTCTACCACCCCCTATAACTTCACACATATTCAGTATTGGTGTAATATCACAATATTTCAGTGATGCACCCTCGTCGCTCTACCACCCCCTATAACTTCACACATATTCACTGTTGGTGTAGTATAGTGTTACACGTTTTGTTTTGCTTGTTTCGTAATTAAATTAAAGGAATGTGCGATTTGAAAGTTTCTTCATAGAAGAGCACAGTGTCAGCGGCTCGTGCGGCTGCATCGAATGAGACCATCGTTGCTATGTTGAGAGTCGAAATAATTTATATATATTAGATGGATTTGGAGTATGTAATTTGTATCTGAAACAACGAGTCGTCATCTTTGTTTTTTAAACAATTTCTAGATTGTATACGGTGATGCATCATTGTCAAATACTCTAAAGAAAAGTTCACTAGAAAGAAATCCACGCGGACCAGGCAGCGGACGGGTCTCGAACCCGCATCCTTCGCTATCCGGGCGAATGCACTGACCATTATGCTACCACGGCCCTATTAGCCGCGTTGAAATTTTCCCAGCCTTAAGCTGCAAGGCAGCGCCATCTCTTCGCATTGTAGGTAACACACAATGTCAAATGAATACTTTTTCAAGTATTAAACATTTGGAAGAAGAAATAGCAATTATAGTTATGATTTTATTTATTTTTTAAGCATTTAACTGCTACATGTTTAAATCTAAAGAAAAGTTTACTAGAAAAAAAGATTTCTTTAGATTTAAACATCTAGCATTTAAATGCTTAAAAATAAAATGAAATCATAACGACCAAATGTTTTTGTATAAAATATTAAATAACTTTGTTGATTCCCCTAACTTGCTTCAAAAAATTAAATTTCAAATTCCCACAAAAAGTGTTCGTCGCACCAACCGGTTATTTGCCATTCCCAGATCTAACAAAAAATATACAGCAAACGCATATTTACAACGAAGTTTGACCGCATATAATACATCATTTGCAAATATTGACCATTTCTCAAATAGTGTAAACCAATTTAAGCAAAAGGTATTTAATTGTTTGTTCTCTATAATTTAGGTATATTTTACTTACTGCGAACTATAGTAATTGTGAATATCAAAAGCAATGTCAATTTAGAATTTTGTTTTGTTTTTCATAACATTATATAATCTTAGTGTTCCGTGTTGTGTGATATCGAAGAACCAACTGTCTATTAATTAGCACTTAAATCCTTAAGTTAAGTTTTTTTTTTGTTCCTCTTAAGTATATTTAGACTTATGTGTTGGCACTCAAGGTCTATAACTTTAGCTACAGTAAAGAAAAATTGTATCGATGTACATGACTGTTTGTTGTCCAGAATAAACTAAAATAAAAATAAAAAATAATTTTTAGATTGTATACGGTGATGCATCATTGTCAAATACTGTTTGTGATGTTGTACAGGCGGAGGACTGGAGCAGCTACGAGGCGAGCGAGTCCGCGTACGGAGTGAGGGCGGGCGGGCCGCCGCCCAACCCCATGCTGCGCCGCAACCAGTACTGGGTCTGACCCGCCCCTCGCATACCAGGCCCGGTGAGACTGTCACGCATCAACATAACACTGTATTGTCAGTTTTTTTTTGGCGGGATTTCATCGAGTGCGGTTGGCGTCTTATTTTAATTATTCTTAAATTCGTTCATAGTGGATATTGTGAAATAAAATTGGTGTGGTTTTGTATAACAACCGTCTGCGTAACTGAAGAATTAGTGGAATCGTTAAAATATACGCTATTCCGGTCAAGTGGACGTGAGAATTTTATTGTAGTGTTGACTACCTCACAGAAGCTTATCGAAAAAGCCAACTCGATACATTTCGTGCCAAACACTCCAAGAAACATTAGAATGCGTTACACCGACATTCTAATGTAAAAAAAAGGAGATTAATTTAATTAAAGACTAGGCTGTATGGGCATTGTTCCCTTTGCCTTCCCTAAAACGGGAGAACTTCAACAAAAAAAAAAAAACAGTGTATTGTCACTCTCACATAATCTCTCTTCACGCATGCATGCGCAAAAAAAATAGCTTCATTGCTGAGCAGAATACGAGCAAGCTCAAACACCATCCTAATGACTGTTGCCAACAAAATGGATAGTTGCTTTATCAAGCATTGTGTGAGTGTGATGAAGACATAAAAAAAAAATCATGTACTGTCCTAATCTATTATTAATCTACACACATCAAAAGTGTCTAGGGATCAACATATATTTTTGCAATAACTTTTCTCCTGATTGATATTAATTAAAATTTTCTTTAAGGATTCATCAAATAAAGTGTTTTCGTTTGTCACAGTAACGATAAACCAAGTCACCTTTGCATTAATAAAGAAATTTGCCATTTTCCTAATAAAGGGATTTTTGACATTTGAACCACTAACACAAAAGTTCGAAAAAAAGACTGAAATAACAGTTTTCTCTAAAATTTTATTGGGTAACTTAAACAATTAATAATCCGTATTTCTACCGCGAACACTAACAACACAAGAACATCGGTTTGGCATACTCAAAATGAGTTCATCCAAATCACGCTGTGGAATGGCCGCCCATGTTCGTTGCAACAACAAAAAAAGGTCTTCTTGCGACTGGATACCCTCCATATTCGGCAGAGCTCTTCTCTGTAGCATATCCCATGCATGCTCAATCGGGTTCAAGTCTGGCGACTGAGCAGGCCAGGGCAGGACATTGATGTTAGCTGCGGCGAGAGTCTGTCTTACAACTCTTGCGGTGTGCGGTCGTGCATTATCATGCATTAACTGAAATAAGGGACCGATTTGCACTTGTAGAGGAACGATGACGTCTGATACAATCGTCTCAGCATAAATTTGAGCGTTGAGGTTGCCTCTGATCCAAATCAACTCAGTTCTTCCGCCGATCCAAATACCCGCCCATACCATGATGGTTCCACCACTATAAGGATGGACTTCCTGGCAGGATTTTAATCGCTGTTGGCGTCCAGGGGTTCTCCAGTGTCGTATACGTCTTGTATCCGGTCTCATACCAAAACGAGACTCATCAGAAAAGCACACGAAACGCCATTGTTCTTCTGCCTAATTTCTGTGTTCAAGAGCCCATTGATATCGAATCCTACGATTGTGCATTGCTATAGGTGGTACCCGTAGCGGTCTTCGGGAATGAAGGTTCACTTCATGCAAGCGTTTTCTGACTGTTTGGTCGCTAATTAAGTTCCCTGAAGAGTGATGAAGCCTCACGGCTAACATCATGGCGGTTATTGTTGGAGCTCTTCGAGTTAAGATTTGAATGTATCGGTCTTGTCTCCGTGTGGTGCAGCGATACCGTCCTCCATGGCGCTCAGCCACGGTACCAGTGCTTCGGTATCGTGTCTAAAGTCGACTGATAACACTCTGACTTGTATTCAGAGCTAAAGCCACAGTACGTTGCCGGGAACCAGCTTCTATCATTCCCACAGCTCTGAGCATTTCTTCCCTGCTTAAATGACGTCGCCGCTCCATAATAACGTTGGTTTTAATCAGTAGTAGGGAAACAGTAGCACTAATAATGTCTTCAATGCGTTGTATGTTTTTATAGGGAAAATATTGACAGCTGTTTTTCATCTTTTACTCGAATTTGATTCACAGTTCCTGATTCAAATTATGAAATGCACCGAAAAGGATCCATATAAATTTATAAAATCATAAATTTATTACAAAGCCACATCTCAATCTCAAGAAATCCGCATAAAAATGCTTGATCCCTAGACACTTTTGATGTGTGTATTACATATACTACTAACATAGAATAAGTCTACTAACAAATATGGATCACAGTTATCTGAAATAAATGAATTATTATTATTATTATTATAATCATAATCAAAATCATTTATTCAGTTTAGGCTGTTACAAGCACTCATGAATGTCTAGAAGCTACGCCATCGGTTCGCAAATCTACGGCGGGAGACCTTGTACTGAGAAGAACCGGCAAGAAACTCAGCAAGGGCTGTTTTTTTCTCCCTGTTTTATTATTTACAGAGTCGTCAAATTGAAAAATGACTTCAGAGGTGATTCATGAAGTCACTTTTCATTACATAATTATTAAATATACATTAATTGTTTACCTGCATTTTGATTGCTGTGTCATACAGTATAAATACAAATAGTGTTACTTATATTCAGTGTGACTAAACATTAACTTCAATATTAAGGAAGTTAGGGCAGACTCATCTCCGCTGGCAGCACCCGTTCACGAGCATGACGCATGAACCAGCCATCGCTTCGCTCAACCATATTTTAGGTAACGACACACTAACTGTATATGTAACTATAGTCTGTTCCAAACGTATTTAGACCAAAAGCAAAACAAAGAGGTAGGTAAGTCTGACAATAGACAGTTTATAATACGATTCAACTAAGAATAGGACCGACTGGGCGCCATATTGTGACGTCATAACTGTCAATTAAAACTAGTTAGGTAGAGTGAACAAAAAAGTTATTCTTTAATAAAAATTATATACCAGGATCATAAAAAATATCTGATTTTTAATAATATTCATTTATTAATACTGAATGAGAAAAAACTTTTATCAGAATCGAGCTCTTTAATTCCGCTAATCTCTGTTCTACTCTCGGAGTAGTTATCATCGTCACTGATTCTTTCGGTTATAAAATAAAATATCCATTATTGTAGGTTCTAAAATGACAACTTTATTTAATATACAAACGGTATTTTTTTTATCTGTAGGTATTTATAATAAAACTAAAGGTTTACCAGTTCTCATTTTCTATAAGTTTCATTTGTATGATTTATTCCCTTCTTTTGTTTACAAATATTTGGTATTTATTCGAAGATTAAATCAGCTCAGTGCAAAAAAAAAAAATCCAATATTTCTTTGAAACCGTACTTTTCAAGCTACTTTTGACAGATGGAGGTCATTGGCTTTCCTATTCTTATTTGAATCGCATAATAGTGATGGGGTTTCATAGTATACACTCATCACTATCACTGGACAATCATTGGTTACTATTTTAAGAGCCCTTTTACAAAATTGCGCCGCTGTCGTACTGATAGGCGCGTAGGTAGATTTGCACTAGTATATATTGCATTTTACGGGTGATGTTTCGAGTCTCATAAAATAATTATTAAAGAACTAATTAAAAAATATATACATATTTCAGTAGTTCAATGATGGTAGATTAGTTTTATGAAAGTTTTTGATAGTAATTATATTTAATTCAATATCAAAATACGAGGTAAACCTGCATTATTTTTTGGGTAAACTCACGGAGGTTAGATGTTTTTTGACGTGACAACGTCTTAAATTAGGTTGCGGCTGGGAGTCACTTATGAAAAAGTGTAACGCTCGGTAACGTTACGATGAGTCTCTCGTGTTAAGTTTAAGTTTACATGTACAATGTTTTAGTAAACAAAATATATTTCTATAGTTAAAATTTGTGCAATTCTTATTTTCATTCAATTCCTTGTTCCTATTGTGCAATTTAATTATATTCATATCAATAAATATTCTACCGAGAAAAAGACGTTGTCACGTAAAATCTTCGCCCGTAAAACCGACTTTACAGGCAACCATTTTTTTTTGATAATTAATGAGCCGGAAAATCAAAATTCTAATACATTATGTTACAACAAAAACATATTTCTGATGTAGTAATAAATTTTATCTAATTTATTCAACATTATTGAGAGATGAGATGAAAGGGCTCTTAATAGCACAGACACGAGCAATATCACACCGTAACACCGAAACGTGCTGGAACACGCTGCTCCTCCATAGCAGTGCGACACCACCATACGACCTCCCACGAATCACACCTGTAGAAGTATCAACAGCAGATGCCCCCGCAAATCCAAAATTGTTGTAGATAGTATTCAAATATGGCATGTCTCCTACAACACTATGAGGTCACATGACCTACACAGTTTCCACAAACTATCTACTGAGCGCTTAACACTTTTGCAATTGAAGCCTGCGTAATTATATGGTCGACTATTCATTATTATATCTAGTGGAGCCCTCAACAGATAATAAAACGTCTAAAAACAATTCCGCAAAGCCTAAGTGTTTCATCCTTTGACTCTAATACACAGAATTTGAAAGTCTTGTGACCTCTTTCTCATTTCATAATTATTTTTTTAAACTTCAGAATTTCTTTTGATTTATTTAAAATATAAGTGGTTATGTCCTATTCGATTGTGTCATAATATACAATGACATTTCGCACTCGCAACTATTTGAATTCGACAATGATTCGTGCTATGGGTACTGTTTATATAACTACACCAACAGTTTGGCCCACTTGCAGCAAATTTACCAAATCTCGATTCAACTAAAACTAGAACTAACCATAGAAAAGTCTCGAAACATCAATGTCAATTTGACATTATGGTATGGACTAAATCTAAAGCCTTTGTTAAATTGAGTTTCAGAAAAATTGCTGCAAGTGGACTTTAAGCTCTTTGCTTCTAAATTTAAAATACAAGTTAACAAGTTCTATTACTACTTTAAGCAATTAACAAAAATGAAATGACAAGCTAATCAATTTAAATCGTATTGTTTGTTACTATTATCTCTGTTTGCCTTTAAAAAAATGACTAAAATGATTGGATAAATCGTTTTAACCTTTAACTCCTCATACACTGGCGGTCATTGATACTAAGGCATTCGACTCCATTACTTATGACGTTATCTAATGGAAAATTGGTGTCTTATACAATTTACAAAATCAAATATAGTTATATAAATACTGTACTAAAACAAATTTAAAATTGTAAAGTCGTAACGAACGTGTTACTAAAGGTTTGCCACAAGGTTACAATAGGCCCACTGCTCTTTAAACTTTAAAAAACGTAATATTATAAAATTTTTCTAACTTCATATCTATCTTAAGTTACTTTATTTTTAACCGTATAGCTACTAGATTCCATGTTTCGTACTCCAAAAATCAAGAGGTTCATTTCTGGGATGTAGTATTGCATTGTTTAACAAAGATTTAAATCTCAGATCAAGAATACTCTTATTAATAAGGGTTATTATAAAGTTTATGATTATCTAAATGATCGTAATGCATGGACATAGTGTTTCTTGTAATTTGTTATTTGATGGGTATTAGTCAGTTTTTGTAACAGTAATATGCACTATCTAATGCCGCTTCCTATATAATAAATATAAAATTTGTTGTAACTATATATCTATATCCTAAATGATGTAATGGAAGGTGACTTCAGAAGTATCTCTGAAGTCATTTTTCAACTTGACGACTCTGTATATATCAATAAAGGGAGAAAAAAGCAGCCCTTGCTGAGTTTCTCCCGCCATAGTTTTGCGAACCGATGGCGTAGCTTCTTGATCTTCACAAGTGCTTGTAACAGCCTAGACTGAATAAATGACTTTTTTATTTCATTTCATTTCAGATTTATAAATATAATTCGCCTGGGTTGCGTTTGAAAATTGTTTGAAACCAGGGCCGAGTGAATCTTTTTCCTAGTAAAACTTAGAAACTATCTCTTATCTATTAGACAAGTCCGTCCGTCCGTCTGTGGTGCTGTTTCAGCGGCCAAACCGTAAGAGATAGATAAAGAGAATATTTAAGTTATAAGTTAAGAATAGTCTAATAAGACTACAAACCGGATTTGAGTAACGTAGCACTTCCGGTTTTCGAGAAATCGCGAATTTCAAACGAAACCCCACAAAATCTCCGAAGTTCTCAATTAATTAAATACAATTTTTTTTTTGTTTAAATCAGGTTTTGGTGAACATTTGGTTCACTGGTTTGCTAGTTTTTAGTTAATTGGTTGACTATTACAATAGGTTCAATTTATTCCAGTGACATTCTGGAAGTGTAACTCTGAACCGGCGGCGCGGCATCGACTTAGTCCCCACATCATTCCTGCTCAGCAAGTACCGGCTCAGCCACACCAGCAGGGAAGTTACACTCTAATCTAAACTCTACCATCAACACAATACAAATCAATTTACTACACTACTCGCGCAGTCTTTTGTAAAATAACCGCGTTCCAGCTATTATGATAGGTTTTCCAATGTTGATAGATATTAAGACGCCAAAGGGTTTTATTTTGTACGGTGTAATTTTAGAGACGCACCATTTAGAAATATTCACCAGAACATCAGTGTGTCAACATTGACTATTGAAATGATATACTTCTCAAGTTGCTGATTTCGGTACTTTGGAAAAATATCGTAATAAACATTTTAGCGAATAAATTATTGTTAGTACTGTTTTTAAAAGAAAAAAATAGAAGTGATAAATGAGAGGTACTTTTGGTAGTTAAAATTTCGTTGTCATTTCATTCACACGTTAAACAGATTCTGAGCTGTCAATTTTATGTCATCACTGTGATTATATAATCAGCGATCGTGTATCGTGTCTGTGTGGTCGCGGTCCAGTTATTTCCAAATAACAGCGTTACCTACTCATTTCGGGATTTAGTACATAATTGCGTGTCCTATATCGTTTAATATTTATCTAACTATAGTCTGTCCATTCATTTATTATCTTTTTGACAGATCGACGCCCATGAAGTTTTGTATTGTTTACGATAGAATGTCATACAAATAATATTGTACTTCATGGACGGTTACCGCCCACTTAGTGATGTGCCACACATAACGATTACTAAGATTATGCCACAGATTACAAATAATCGGTAGAAATAAATGATTACAACCAAAGTGTAAGGTAGAAACCAACTAATTAAAATATTAACATTAAAGTTCATTATATAAATTTCTTCTTAGTTTATTTTTAATTTATTCAGACGTATACTGATAAATCACACCCAGACACAGAACAAATACTCGTGCACACATATTTTGTACTAAGTAAAATAATAAATCTGTTGAAATTATTGTAATAATTTATAAAACACCAGTATTTTTGATAACTAAAATAATTTCGATACTTATAATCGATTAAACAATGTTCTAGCATAAAATCGGTTACAGCTTTAAATCGAGTTATGTGATAGAGTGTCACTATTTTTGCTTCGATCGATCTGTCAAAAAGGTAATAACTGAATGGACAGACTATAATCTATAAGACAATAAGACTTTCAAATGTTTCGCTCAGTTCACCGTCATCAAACTTTGCATAAAATTGATCCGATAGGAGTAAGAAGAATAGACTTATTTCAATATGTCTACGTGCTCATGAAACGTTCAACATTTGTATTTGTCATAGTTTATGAGCATTTTGGTAATATTCGTTTGTTTGCACCTCATGGTTTTACAGGTGCTCAGTACATAAAGATTTTTTGACTAGAGGAAACCTTTTAACTCTTCGTGTTCACTATTTATTGGCTTTACCAAAATAGTTAGCGAATAATATTATTTACTATTGTGGTCACAAAATAAATAATAATATTTATGACCAAAATAGTTAAGCAAACAAATGGTTTTCATTTTGCTCAGATTTGTTTAAAGCTAATATCTAAATGCCTTCAAAATCGTCTAAATGCTTTCGCGTTTTATCATTTTGGTCTGAAACATTTATTCCACATCTACACATTGCATTGTTATAATAGGGTATTTGACAAGTTTTAGGAAACGATCTCACATTATTTACTAATGTTTATAGAGTCCATAAAGAGGAAAAGATATTCATCATTATGTTGTGTATTTCGGTAAAAAAACCAAATGAAAAACTCTATTTTCGGGTTGCCGCGAAAAACGTATCTCTGGACAATATGGCGTCGCACTGGACTGTGACGTCACACGACTGTCATCAAAACGTCAAACCATACAATCAAATGTCACTTTAACCGGAAGTTTACTTGCGTGTGACGTCATTTTAGGCTCCACAAATCCCAAGCGTTTTGGGTCACGTGACAATAGGCAAGAAAACTATTCTCTTTATCGTGGGTTTTTAGTAAAATTATGATTATTTTTTCTGTAAAAATTGTAAAAACTCTTGCCAATATTCATTCTAAAAACAGATGCTAACAATTGGCACTTTTTTTTGAATATACTGTCAAATACCCTATTGTTCTATGTAAATTCTTCTTTCCGGTGCTGGTGTAAATAATTTACTACCAATCACATTTTGCTGATGTTGTTGTTGATTGTTGTACCCACTGCAAGACAAAACTCGTTTCTGATCGTGAGCAATTACTGAATTTGATAACATCATGAATTTAATGTATGTATATTCAAAAAAAGTAGCGACCAACATTCGAATTTAATTTATCAATACTGGTAGAAGTGGGTACAGGAAACTTAGCAATTTTTTTCTCAGTTCAACGTTTACTTGTCACAGCACAATAAGTAATATTGTAGCAATGTTTTGGTTGTATATTTTGATTTGAGTGTGGTTGAGATAAACAAAATTTTAACTAGATAGTACTTTCGCTTGCCTCAGATATATAACAGCATTTAATATCATTTTTAGTAGGAGCTATATAAAATACTTTTGCAAATCTCTCGTTGTGTTGATGATGGCATTAGTTTAAACATAAATAAATAAATAGCTCTCTTCTCACTAACGGCCTCTGGTGTGCGCAAATGATTTTCCGACAGTCATTGATGTGTCTGTACCGTTAAGATATTTTTGCTACTGTATTTAAGACACAGGTATGGATCGGAGAATTTGTACGACTGATAGTTAGACTAAGTGTCTGCATGTAATTGTTAGATGTTAATTTGAGTTGTTGCGGTCTAATCCCTCGTTCACATGAAGGTATAATACATGTATTTAACAAAGGAGATTGCTCAGCTTCCATACATGTTTGGCCTAAAAACCAATAATCATGAAAAATTGTTTCCTATATTCGAAATTATATATAAATTACTGTAGAAACGAATATTATTGACGGACACCCCTGAGAACTTCTATAAACCATATACACTGAACATATTAAAATAATAAAAAACAAATAAGTTATATAGTAAACTTGGGAAATCAAGCCAAGTACCGAAATTATGGATTAGATTCAGGTATATAGAGCATGTAGATTAACAGATAGTTGCCTGTTTTTAAAGTTAATGCATAAGAGTAACTTTTAAAATCAGGTGTCATTTCCGGTTATAATAAGGTACTCTGTGACAGAAACTGTGTGATGATTGTGAATTCGTATGTTTTCCAAACCGGTAAAATGAAAAGTCCTTTTTAAAGTAAATATATTATACAAAGGTGTCCGTTGAAATCTAATAGCCGTAAATTAAATTATAAATTACGCCAAGAATTACCGTGTATGTCAATATTTTTTGTGCATTTGGGCCAATTTGAGCAATCTCCTTTATACAATGTCTTAATTTTTTGTGCACACTTATATACATGTATAAAACATACAGTGTACAATACTTGCATCAAACTTGTTAGATAAACAAAATATGTGAGGTAAACAAGTGATTTATACAAGTATTATACTAATTGTCTATGCGGTGTAGACAAAAGCATGTTTAAAACAGCCACGATAAGTATACTACAAGTTTTGCATAAAATTAGTATATGACTTGTTTCTTGGTGCAAACGAGGGGTAAAATAAGTATACTGTACCCTTAGCACGAACTAATATCTAATTCGAATCGTTTGCGAGTCCTAAAGTTCATTGTCAAATGTGTACTGATTATTAGTTCTCGTTACGTCCGTTGTGGCGTTGTTGTTCAAGTTTTCATACATAATATGACATTGACATTTCGCACTCGCAAACTATTCCAATTCGATATTGGTTCGTGATGAGGGTACTGATGCTGTTTTATTATGAAATATTCAATGGTATTCAGATACGAACACAAAAATCTGATATTGTAGTTGAGTTCGATTAGGAAATTAGTGAATGGTATTTACTTACATTTGATAAAGTTTGATAATGCTGAGTTCCATATTGTATGTTACTATTTGCGTGGATTTTTCACGCATGACGCAATTATATTACTGGACCTCAATAGCTGATATTTTGAAATAGGTATACAGTTAATTGAAGTGTAAGTTTAAAGGTGATTTTATTAATATTAAGCATCTTAAGTAATTACTAATAAGGGATATACACGCAAACGCTAAGATATTTTGCCAACTTATTCTCAAACAAGAATAAGAAGATTCTCAGTGAAACTCAAATAATTTCTGTTTTGAGATAAACATACACAAATATTTGCACAATGATTGATTCGAGTTGATTATTAAATATGTTAAAATGGGACTTGTATGTGTGTTAGGGACTTTCCAACGCAAACATACCGTTTTGTACGATTCTGATGACTAATAAAAAAAAAATGTGTGTGTCAGCTCCGACGCACGACTGGAGTTTACTCCTTAAGTTCGAATGTCTAACCAGACGCAATAAGAGTTTATTTAACTTAAAAAAGATGGATACTGTATGAAAGGGTAAATTAACAAACTAATGAAAATAATATACATATATATATATATATATATATATATATATATATATATATATATATATATAAATATATATTTATTCATTTCATATACATTTATTATAACTAATCGACGAAATATTTTACATTAAACTTTTTACAATAGTCAATTTCAGATGTGCATAAATGTATCATTAGGAATGTTGATAAATTATGTAATTATTATTATCAGACTATTATCTTTTTTTTTAATATTAATTAAATCAACATTGTCTGCATTATTAATTACAGTGACAAGTGGTTTATGGTAACTAAAATAAGACACATGGACGTTCGTAGATACGTGGTTCACGAATCTTGAAAATACCGCATCAATGGTTGTACCATACCTCGTTGTACCCATTGCTCTATCAGAAACAATATCTAAATTCAGTTCAGATTTAAAAAAAAATATTAAATTTAATCCGTCATCTTTGTTTGTCAAAGTTGCGCGACATAGGATGCGCACCAAAAACGTAACGAGGTCATTCATCGATAGATTTTACTCCTCACATTTTTCTCATACCGGGCCCCTTATATATGCAAATCGATTCTTAAGGAGTAAACTCCAATAATGTGTGTTTACTATATATACCAGCAGTTGACTCTAGAATGTTAGTCGCGTTGTTGTTTGCTGTGTTAACTCTATGTTATTATTTACCAAGATTCCTTTATTCATCAGAAAATAATCATTAAGTTTGCAGTGTTAGAATTTTTCGACTCTGTTGAAATATTAACAAAACCTAACATCTGGCTCAAACTCAGGCATTTACTTGATATGGTTTCGGCTTTAGTGTGTTAGGGTATTTGCAAGGGCGGATCCAGCTTTGGTGCCAGGGGGGGGGGGTCATATAGCCAGCTTTGGCGCCAGGGGGGGGGGGGTCATATAGCCAGCTTTGGCGCCAGGGGGGGGGTCATATAGCCAGCTTTGGCGCCAGGGGGGGGGGTCATATAGCCAGCTTTGGCGTCAGGGGGGGTCATATAGTCGTGGTATATTAAGTATTGAAAGTACTTAACTAAAATCCCCCTGGGTTTGGTCCATCTGTACCCAGCCCAGGGGGGGGGGGGGGTTATGACCCCCATGACGCCCCCCCCCCTGGATCCGCCGTTGGGTATTTGCCCCTGTGTCTTCTTGTGTTACACAACGGACCGGAGCGATGTTTGCGCATTTAAAAGGAGCCGTTCTAGTATTACCTGAGCACTATAGGGGGGCAGGGGGGTCTTTGCGTTGCTTATTTTTGATGACATCGGGGCTGGGGGGTCGAGATAGTGATTACGTCAGCATCATGGATTCGGGTGTCATGGACTGAAGACTGTATACATATACCAAAAATTCGAAAGAAGTTGGTTTTGTTCGTAATAGTACCTTACTCTATGTCGAATACTGTGTCAATAAAGTTTCTTTAAATGAATAATAAGTGCGTTAAAGTCCTCTATCCTAACCCTATTTAAGTACTGCTGCTCTTAAAAGCTCAAAATCAATAAAAAAAATAGAATACATTAAAGGAAAAATGCATCTAGTTACCAATGTTTACGTAAGCACGTGAGGGGGGGAGTAAGAGCTTTGCTTACTTTTGCTGACAAGTAATAAATCTGCTTACGTAATACTTGAACGGCCCCAAAGTGCTTTTGAATAGTTTTTTTTTAACTATTAGCATTTACTATAACTTAGGTAACCTCTATATTAATACGATTGCCAAAATAGTGCCAAGGCGATTTACCAATTAATAAAAAAAGATTATATTATCATTTGTTAGCGGTTTAACATAGATTTTTTTTTATTGACTCATTTACTCAATTACTTATTAAAATTAGCTTTAAGGATGCCTACGATAAGTTTGTAACGTTAAATTTAATTATATTTTTTAACATGTTAAATGAATCTGTAAAATTTGAATTAGGGTATTTAGCATATTCTAACTAGGGAATTTTGCGTATTTGAAAGCACTATTAAAAATACATACGCATCGGGTCTAATTTTGGCTTGACTTCTCTAAACGTAAGCCTTAATTCTATTTCTCCTTTTCTATAAAGCATGATAAAGACAGAGAATCTTAAGAAAAGTTTACTAGAAAAAAATCCACGCTGACCAGGCAGCGGACGGGACTCGAACCCGCACCCTTCGCAATCCGGGCGAATGCACTGACCATTATGCTACCACGGCCCTATTCGTCGCGTCGAAATTTTCC